GGGTTGCTTATGCATCAGATGTAATGAATAAAACTATGGGAGAAGTTAAGTCCATTTGAGGAAGAAATAAACAATAACCTGAAGAAATAAAAAAAAATTCAACTATTAAAGGGCAAGAATATACAAATATATACAGGCATGTAGTATCATTTGTATCAGCCAGAAAAAATTATTTTACACTTAATTGAAAAAATGCTCACCCTACTCACAAATACTCCCTGTGTGTTTTATGATAGGAATTATAATTTTAGGCATCATTTACAAGTAAATTTTAGCACAATGTCTACACATTCACCTAACACATATTAAAAGAATGAAGATATATTGAAAGACTTAAAGAATTGATTTTTTAAAAATATATTTTGACCAACATCACAATTTATATAACTGGCCCAAACTGGCAGCTGATGAAATAAGCAATTAAATGTTCTACTTTCCTTTTTGTAAGCATTATGTGTCCAGTGGTAAGGAGCCTATTAGAATAGCATAAAAAAGAATGTACAAATGTTAATAATTGATTTATCAAAAAAAAATTTTAATTTCCTTCTCCGGCGGGACTTTTATATTCTCATGTTCATAACTAAACCTAAACATTAAACAAATGCTGGCCTTATAATGAAGAAAGGGGCCTCTTTCAAAATAGATAATTTCAGGGCCGCTGGGTCAGGGGTACCTGGGGGGTACTTTGACTAAAAATGAATTAATGTTTTGAAATCTGCCCTTTGATAAGCAATGGTGCCTTCTTCAAAATTTGTGAATTTCATGGCTTTTGGATTAAAACACGAACCAAATACAATCGCTGGAAAGTTGTTACATGATACTCAGGTGACCTATAAGGCCCGTGGGCCTCTTGTCTTGAAAAGTGCTTAAACTTGGCATTTTCCTATATAATCCTATTTTAAATAGGAACCGAAGGCTCAAGTGAGCTTTTCTGATCAAAATTTTTCCGTTGTCTGTCGTCGTTGTTGTCGTTTTCATCGTTGTCGGTGTTGTCGTTAACTTTTTCACATTTTTGTCTTCTTCTCAAGAACAACTGAGCCAATTTCAAATAAACTTACCGGTAGCACAAAGTATCCTTAGGTAAAGGGGATTCAGATTTGTTCAAATGAAGGGCCACACCCTTATTCTAGGGGAGATAATTCAGAAATAGTGAAAATTTAATAGTATGTTTTAAAAATCTTCTTCTCAAGAACCACTGTGCAAGGAAAGCTGAAACTTATAGGGAAACATCCTCAGGTAGTGTAGATTCCGATTCAAGTTTGTTCCAATCATAACCCCCGGGGGTAAGGTGGGGCCACAATGGCTGATCAAAGTTTTACATAGAATTATATAGGAAAATTCTTTTAAAATGTTCTTCTCAAGAATCATTGTGCCAGGAAAGATGGAATTCATAGGGAAGCTTCCGCAGGTAGGGTAGATATAGATTAGTTCAAATCATGACCCCAGGGGGTAGGGTGGGGCCGCAATGACCGATCAAAGTTTTACATAGAAATATATAGGGAGATTCTTTAAAAATCTTCTCAAGAAATAGCAAAGGCATGAATGATCATGTTTTTTATGGAAGCATCCTCGGGTAGTGGACATTCAATTTTGTTCAAATCATGACCCCTGGGGGTAGGTCGGGCCATAACATGGAATCCAAGTTTTACATAGAAACATGTAGAAAAAATCTTTTAAAAATCTTCTTTTCAATGATTAATCCTATTCATATGGAAGCATTCTCAGGTAGTGTAGATTCAATTTTGTTCAAGTCATGACCCCTGGGGGTAGGGCGGGGCCACAATGTAAGTTCAAATGTAAAGCGCAATAAAGCCACATGTAGTCAAAGAAATATGCAATCATCCATTGTTAGTGTATATTTAAGTTTGTTCAAATCATACCCTCTCCCTTTTAAGGATTGGTTTGGACCACTATTAAGTTTAAACTTTTCAATAATAAACCGATTTCTGCTGTTTTCCTATAAACATTGCTCAGGTGAGCGATGTGGCCCATGGGCCTCTTGTTTTTATAAACAGAAAGAAAAGTAGCTGGAGAACTGTAGCTCTCCGATTTTTTTTGACAGACACCGGTCTGTCAACATAATGAACTACAGTTCTGCGGCTAAAAGAAAAGGGGAGCTATACACCCACAGCTGTACCCCAGACCCTTAAAAAGCCCGAATAACCCCACCAATACCATCACTACACAATATGAATTTCATTTTTTTGTTATTTTGTTCCCTTACGATTTTAATATCTTTCCCGCCCACACTTTGTGCCTTTCTTCAAATACACCATTTTATCACCACACATTCACAAGCGCATGCGTGAAACAAATTGAAATAGTGAGAAAAGAGTTCCAAAAGAGAAGGTGAAAAACAAATCAACGGACAATGTTATATCGCTTTCTTATTATACCCCCCGCTTGAAAAGTGGGAGGGTATATAGTGATCGGGATTTCCGTCCGTCCGTCCGTCCGTCCGTCCGTCCGTCTGTCCGTCCGTCTGTTACGCTTTATCTCTTATCCGCAACTCCTCTTATACTACTGAGTGAAATTTAATGAAACTTTCACAGAATCTTTATTACATATTGCCATTGTGCACCTCCTATTTTACTTTTTTATTCGACACGTATTTTAGGTTTCCCAGAGCAAAACATGGACATTGCCATTTTTTGTTTACCTATGACGTCACATAATAGAAGCTTCTGGATAACATTGATAGGAGGAGTTATTCCTCTTTACACATTACCGTAAAACAATATAAAGCAACACATCGACATTATGGGAGGCGGGGGGTATCATTTAGTGAGCTCATTGCTCAGAGTACCTCTAGTTTCTGCTTTTCTTTATTCTTTATTGTTTATGGAAAGGAAAATACATTTGTTTGAGGTCGGTAGAATAATCAAAATCACAAGGTTGCAAAGGCGAAATAGCCTCGACAAAAATGCTAAAAATACGAGGTTGTGAGGGATGAAAGATGCGAAGGGGAAAGGGGCTTCTTATACTTCATATACATGGACTTGTAAATAACTTTTCTTTCCGACGTAACACGGAACGTCCTTTTCTAGAGTTGGATCCAAGGTCAGATTTAGTTCGTCTAGTTAATACTTAAAAAAGACTGTACATATTTTAAATGGGTGCACCCTCCCCCTTGTTTGAATTTAATACAAAGAAAAATTCATTAGTATTAAGTTCATGTATTTATTCTAAAAACCAATGACAGAAAGTTAATTATTGCTCTTATTAACAACTCCTTTAATTAGGGAGTAGAAAATTGCATCATTGAAATCAGACTGAACACGTTTATCATCAGAATATGGACTTAAGGGGGGCGACTATAGTTTTACTGTGTGAAATCTACAACAGCGAAACTCTTCATTTTTATACCAAATATAACTTACATCAAATGTAGTGTACAGGCAAAGTTTGGGGGAAATCTACCGTTCAGGTATTTTTGAGGGACCGTCTCAAAATACAGGTACATTTACTATAGGATTATATAGAAAATGCCAATTTTTAGCACTTTAAAATAAATTATACAATTACTACAATAGACATTTTGTTCAAACTTTAATATTTGATGAGTAATGCTATATTTTACAATACATGTATATGTAAGAAAAACAAAATTCTACCGTCTTGTTACCAGAGGGGACATCTCAAAATGCAAAGAAATGAGCAAATTTTACTATTTTTATAGAGTACTACAAAATATGACATACACAATGGATTCACATGAAAACATAATAAATAAATTGGAGATATTTTCGAAATTCTATGTTTTAAATTTCAAGAGCGTATGTTTGTTACGTATTCTTTAATAATATTTTTATTACCCCTTTCGTTAAGAGGTACAGATTATCATAACGTCAAAATCACACTGTAACGACGTCAACCTACCTATTAATTGCAAAATCGGTTAAAAATCAGTTAAATCAAATTTTGTTACATTTTTATACCTATCATTTCTTAATTTTATTTAATTTTAATAATTAAAGCGAAAAAAATTCCATTAAAACAGTAAATACGCTTCATTTTACTATGATGCGCGAAATATAGCGCAATGAAAACTATAGTCGGCCCCTTAAACGACTCCATAATCTCACCGTATGTTTTAATTTATGTCATATTCAAGATACAGCGTGATATAAAAAAAATTATGATTTCTATACAATGTATTAGAATCTTTTGATTTATATTATATGTTTGTTCTTCAAAGTTATAAACAAATAGATAATATGCAAAAATATTATTTATATTTGACTTGGCATTTAAATGCATTAGCTTATGATTCACATTTGAAAATTTTATGATTTATATATGCGATAATTTCTATATTTACGTATATTTGAAAACTTGTTATTCTTAACTCTAGTTACTAATACAAAACTGTATTCGAAAAGCTTTGTCATTTACAAAATTTCGATTCCTTGATTTGTGATTTCTGTTCAACGATCTGATTTATTTTACTATTGCATAATTGTATACATATAGTATTTCGATAAGCAATTTGCCTGTTGGATGAAGATGCAAACTAATCGCAAAGCTGAGAAGGCGAAAGTGCAAGGATGTGATGTGTAGTTAAAAGGACGTAGATGCGTCGGATAATTTAAAAAGTTAGAATTAATTTACCAAAGAAGAAATAGTAGATATTCCTTTTTATTTTTTAAGATTTTTAAGATTATCTAGTAAAACAACTAAAAAAAGTTAATTCCACATTTTCTTTTATTTTCAACAAGAAATATGATGAGAAAAATGTTAACAATTGTGGAAGAAAAACCCTATATCTTGAGGGATGAAGATATTCAATAAACTAACGTAAAACAAGATTGCCATTTGCCACATGTTTGGTATGCCACACGTTTGTTTTAATACAAATCCAAGATTGGCAAATCTATGTATGTACTATGCAAGAATAAATGCAACACATCGATCTAAAACTTCGACCCAAAGGGACATACTCTAAAACATTTTTTGAAGGAAAGTGCAACGAATTTTTTTCTTCAATTTCCTAGAGAGAAGACCCAGGCTGTCACAGAGAACCGTCCACTCTCTGGAGTATTTGTTCCAGATGGCTCCTTATCCAAGTAATCATGATTTACAGACGGTAGCAGACGACAGCGGTGAAAATATCAAAAGACTACGGGTAATCTTTTTAGAATCTAAAGACTTGAGATCCAAAATTTACAATGTTTTTTTTTTCTTTTTCGATGCCTATGAACATGTTTTTAGTTTAATACCAAAATTACAGGTACCACGTAACCAATCAATCTGCTTTAAGTCTAAAAACTCTTAAAAATATAGATACGTACATGTACGTCATGAAATAGATTTACATGTATAATAATCATTCTTCATGCTTGAGAAGGCAAATTCTCTGTTCAGTTGTATGTGAATTGATAATCTGTTTGATAAATGGACTGAAAAAATTGAAACAAATGAATTCTTTTATAAAATTTCACAAGTGCTAGTGCATTTCATAAACTTTAAACTACTAGCTCTGCCCCACGGATCATGTATTGCAATTGCAATATATATTCCAACTGCACTCATTACTATCAGTTGATGTTCAAGTTTTCAATGGAACACAACAATGTTTCTCTCCCATGATTTCAATTGAAGGAATATTGTTTTTAAATAGTATAGTCACACAATTATTTATTAGGGGATTTTCTTGTCTAAAATAGTTCAGTATGAATAAAGACAGCTGCTACTTTTTTCACGTTGTTCCTACGAACGAAGTGAAATAGTAGGGACTGGCTTTAGTCAGACTGAAAATAGTTCATTTTAAAAGTTTTTGTTGTTTCCTTTTAGACATGGTTGACGAATAGGAGAACGAAGGCCAAAGCTGGATGTGCTGGTAAGAAGTCCACTAAGAGAAAATCAACCGTTCATCGTAGTTCACAGCGACCCAAATCAAACGTGGACTGGGGAAAACCCTGCGAAGAACAGCTCTCTTCGTTAACTTCTGCTAGTTCCAAAGTCCCTGCCGAAAGTCTTGCAAGTGACGCAGAAGACAAGAAACGGACTTCTATGTTTATTCCACGCAGAACACACCCGATGACTTCCGAAGTCATGGACGATCTGCTGCATGAACGTGATTCTGTACTGATAGAGGACAAGGAGTACCACGAGATGATGTGTGATTCTGATTGGTGAATGTGACTAAACACGATTCCGATTGGTGAAAATGACAAGACACGAGATGACGTGTGATTCCGATTGGTGAATATTCATAGACACAAGATAATATTTCAATCAGATTGGTGAAGATGTTTTGTAACGAGATGACATGTGATTCCGATAGGTGCAGATGACTTGACACGAGATGATGTGTGATTCCAATGGGTGCAGATCTATGACCAAACACGAGACAATGTGTGATTTCGACTTGTGATTATTTAACCTGATATGATGCGAATCCAGTAAGTGACAATTAGTGAATGTGAAAGAATCCGATTATTCTGATATCAAAATCAAAATCAGTTTGGAAGAAATGCAAGAATTGTCCTTAATATTCCTTCTCCTAGGGAAATGTTGACCTAACATGACTTCATTGGCAATCAGTGATTGACTTTATTTATTTTTAATTTGATGTTAAGCATGATTAAATTTAGATTATTTATTGTTCTTTATTTTAAGAACAATGAAGACACATGAATATATTATGAATAGTTTTTTCTGGATTATTTTTCCCCAAATAATATTATTTCTTGCTCAATGCTCAAAACAATAAAAGTGTACACAGAAATTCTAGAAAAGACATTCTTGTTTGTTATTCATTCTGTCTCATTTGAATTGTACATTTTGTACGATAAGACACTGTTACTTACAGTAGATTGTGAAATTAATACGATGGTTTGGATTTCACTAGGTTCACGCCCCTTTATCGTACAGGAAATCAAAATCATAGTGAAAAGTTATCAGATCACACATATCTCTAACAATGCAGAGGGCATACCTTAAAATAAAAACCATCGCAAATTGATAACTAGTAACTTTCAAGGAATCGTTAAATATAACAGAAAAACGACCTAATACAAAATAAAGCTTTTACTATTCGCTTTAGTGATAAAAAAATAGTACATAGAATTATTTGCTCAAAATCATTTTTAACCTTTAAAACCATGCAATGCAAAACCAATACAGTAATTGTCATCAGCAAATATATACACAATGTAAAAAAAAATCATAAATACTATGGGCATAAAACTATTGATGAAGTTGTCCGCAGTATACATCGATCAATTCAACTCATTTACCAAGTGGTACAAAGACCGTTTTTCATGAAATCAAGATTGTTGAAATCAAGATTGTTGAAATTGTTGATTGTTGAATTACAAGAAGTTCAGACACTGGAAGAAAGTATAAAACACGAAAGGAAAATTTTATGACATTGAACATAAAAACTGTCAAAAATTGAAACATAGTTTATAATAAACAGCATAAGCAATATTTCTAATATATATTGTTCTGGAGGTTTTTTATCACTTCCAAACGTAAGCAAACATAGATGCAGCAAGGGGATATCTGGTCACATGATCCCCACATAAGTGCTAGTTAAAGAACCTCTATTTATAGAATGCCATACAAACATGGGAACCTGATCAAAACATATCAGTTATCTTAAAATATTTTTATTTATATTTCCGGAAAAAAACTTGATATTTCAAAATTTCCCTGCGTATTATAAATACCAGTAATGATGGATTTTGAAAAAAATCCTCATTTCTTTGTGAGTTTAGAGAAAGTTTTGTGCGACTTTTCAGTTAATTACTAGTATAACGGTTGATTTTTCAGAACCCGTACACTACCTTAATGATAGAAGCAATAAAACAGTAACAAAATAATTGTAAATCTTGTTTAAAACATCATTTCATCAAAGTGTAAAAGAACATTTATTTTGAGCGTTTCGAAAGCAAATACAGTTTTTAAAATGTATTTCTTCCAGGCTACTTTAATCATTTAAAAGGTATTTTGACTCACTTCATGATAATGTTACCGGGTTCACATAGTAACGAGAAAGGATTTTCTACAAAGAGAGATAACTCTTCTTGCTTCATAATGCAACTTATTCTACGAAATTAATATCAATCGGATAAAACTAGAATAATTTATACATATAATTTACTTTCTTTGTGTATCATAATTATTATAAAGTTTAGTGAATAAAATAATACAGCAGTAATTCAAATGTATATCACTTCTATTAATGAAATAGAAATGTTTCTCGTTACGATTCTCATAACAATGGAATGTACACATAAAATACAGTAATACAGACTCGCATTTCATGATACAAAATATTACGTATCTTACCCAATATATGGTATCAAACACTAAGTTACAATAACATAATTCAGGTTACAGCTACCTACATATATCATGTGGATCTAAATAATAATAAACATATCATATACTAATTTATTATTATTATTATTATTATTATTATTATTATTAATATATTATTAATAATGTTTGCTAATTAATTCATCTAAAATAATTTACACATTAGCTTTAACTATTTATCAAATTAATGACTATGTTATTTTAAAAGAAATTGATCTTCTATGGATGAATAAAGTCCAAGGTAAACAAATCACAAGGTTGTGTGTCAAGATCAAACTGACCATTCTAGACTCTTTTTGAAAAATACAAATTATAAAAAAAATCACATGACTTACACTGTCAATCAACCAAAACAAGAATTCAATGATCCATGAACAACTGACAAGAAATAGTTTGGACAACCCTTTCTGATGTAAGGCCATTCCAAGTTTTTTCTGTGTTTAGCGTCCGCGTGCGCCTTGGTTTTTGACACCCCATGTCAGAAAAAACAAACAGAATCAGGAGTCCAGAAATTAATTATTCAGGTCAAAATTTGTGATTTCCGGCAATATATCTAAATATTTGTATATTTCATTATTGGAATAGTTTCAGTATTAAATACCTCAATGTTGCTGAAGAAAATAACTTTCTTTATGAAAAATAGATAAATGAAATCATATCTTTTGAATTACGTCATTCTTATTACTATGAAATATATGTGTTTTATTTTTTTTTCTGACTTGTGTGTTTTTTGAGAATACATGTAGGTAGCTAGGTTTTTGAAAGATGGGTGGACGCTAAACAGAGAAAAAACTTGGAATGGCCTAATATTAAAATAGAATAAAATAATCGAAATTATAGATTAATGTTTTAAATTACATGTAATTTATATTAGTATGTTTTTAAAATAAATCAAAACGTATACTACGAGGGTTGATCCAAAAGGAATGTCATAACTTCTATAAAATCGCTATCCGTCGATGTAAAACAACAAAATTATAAATGATGTAAGCTACATTTATTTCAAATCAGACTTGAAAATTTCAATTCAACATGATTTATACTTTTCAAAATATCGGATTATATACAACGTGCGATTATGGTAGTCGAGGCAGCTAAATAACGTCATGTGACGGATACGCGCCGACATACATTTAAACGCTTCCCTTCGTTTCATTAAAAAATATTTGAGATATGATATCCACGAACACGTTCACAAATTTCACTTTCTTACCCTTAGTACCAATCGTACACTCACTCTTTTCATAATTAATTCTGTCAAAATTCATTGAACAGTAGTAGAAGACCAACTTAAAATTTAACATATCGCTCTATCCGTCTGCCATTTTGACAACGTCACGCACCATAGAACATTTCCGTCCGCCCTCCCATCTTTCGGTTTTCTTGTCATCCGCTGAGAATTTAATGACCCATCACCCACCGAAAATCGCTGAAACCATCTAAACAAGTCTCTTATTTACATTCTTTCCTCCGAAAGTCTGGTGAATCAACGTTACTGTCTCTACTGGTGATTTCTCCATTTTGAAGCAAAAAATACATTACAGTTTGTTTTGGCTTTTTTGTCCATTTTGACATTTCCTTTTTCCAATGCACCGGAATAAATCAACGATGTTTTTCATAAAAAATAGCAGTGATGTCATATAATTTTCAATTTAAGACTAGAAAATGATGTAATTTTTTGTTTATTATAGTATTTTGCGTTCAGGCGCTTTTAAAAGATGCTTTTTAAGTGTTTGTCTTTTTTATACTTTAAAAAAGTAGACTTTAATTTGTGACGTTCGGTTTTGACGCGGTGACACCCCCTATCTTATATGTTTAAAACATCTATAAAATGAATTCAGTTAAACATTATTGAATGAAAAATTAAAATTTAAGTAAATTTATATTTGTGCATCTTTTGGTATATAATATTTGAAAATATGACGCCAAATATAAAAGATATGGACACTGTGACATTACTTTTGGATCAACCCTCGTATTACAATGATAACGATAAAATATTTTAGTCGTCAAGCTAACGATATTAGCTTTTGGTTTGAACATATTTTATTCTATATCATTTATACAAAAAATATGTTCAAACCATAAGCTAATGTGTTAATAATATTGGAATAATAAAACAAGTACATATAATAGGGCAAACAGTTTAAAAAATCTTCATATTACTAGTATCAATAAAAAAAAATACCATCTGGAACATTTCGTATCTTTCACAAAAATCACATCAGATCAGTCTAGTTGAAAAAGTTCTGCGTGGAAATCCAAAAGAATAAACGTAGTCACATTATTATACATTTCTTGGAAGTATTTCCCTTTCCATGGGTTGAGCCAGTGAGAGATTTATTTTCTTTCACATACTTGATGAGGGGTCGTTCAATATCAATCCATCTCCTCCTTCTTGCTAAATCTATTGGCGTTTCATTGTAAGCATCCCTCTTTGTGGCATCGGCATTAAACTGCAGTAGAATATTGATAATGTTCTGTTTGCCAAGAAGACAAGCTCTGTGTAATGCGGTTCTTTGTTGCTTATCTCTAGTTTCAACAGCAGCATTATGCTGCAGCAGAAGTTCTACAACCTCTTCGTGAGAATTGTCCACTGCAAGATGCAGCGCAGTTAAACCCTCAAGGGCTGTTCGAGAATCCAAATGTGGTTTTAAACCTAGTAGAATATTAAAAATAGGTAAACGGCCTTTCTGTGCAGCTATGTGGACTGCACTAAAACCACCCTTATCACACCATTTAGCATAAGCGTTGTTTTTCAAGAGTGTTTCTACTACTTTTATATCACCATTGTCGGTAGCCCTTAAAAGTGGACTCTGACCATCATTATCACATAAATTAACATCAGCTTTGTTTTCTAAGAGTATTTGTACAATGTCAATATGCCCATTGTTGGAAGCCCAATAAAGTGGACTCCGGCCATCAATATCACATAAATTAACATCGGCTTTGTTTTCTAAAAGTAGTTTTACAATGTTTAAATGACCCTCTTTGGAAGCTTTTAAAAGTGCACTGTCACCAACATCATCACATAAATTAACATCGGCTCTATTTTCCAAAAGTATTTGTACTACGTTTGTGTGACCATTGATGGAAGCTTGTGAAAGTGGACTCTCACCATGATTATCACAGAGGTTTACATCAGCGTTGTTTTCCACCAGTATTTGTACAACGTTTGTGTGACCATTACTGGAAGCCCAGAAAAGTGGACTCTCACCATTATTATTACAGAGGTTTACATCAGCTTTATTTTCCACCAGTATTTGTACAACGTTTGTGTGACCATTGCTGGAAGCCAAGGAAAGTGGACTCCCACCATTATTATCACAGAGGTTTACATCAGCTTTATTTTCCACCAGTATTTGTACAACGTTTGTGTGACCATTGCTGGAAGCCCAGAAAAGTGGACTCTCACCATTTTTATCACAGAGATTTACATCAGCGTTGTTTTCCGCCAGTATTTGTACAACCTTTGTGTGACCTTTGCTGGAAGCCCAGGAAAGTGGACTCTCACCATTTTTATCACAGAGGTTTACATCAGCGTTGTTTTCGACGAGTATTTTTACAAAGTCTGTGAGACCATTGCTGGAAGCCCAGAAAAGTGGACTCTCGCCATTATTATTACATAAATTTACATCAGCTTTGTTTTCCAGGAGCGTTTGTACAACATCTGTATGACCATTGCAGGAGGCAGTGAAAAGTGGACTACACCCGCCACCATTTGTACAAAAATTTACATCGTCTTCGTTTTCTAAAAGCATTACTTCAATGTTTGAATAACCCATTTCGCAAGCATTGAAAAGTGGACTTCGGCCCAAAAAATCACACAAATTGACATCGGCTTTGTTTTCTAGGAGTATTTGTACAACATTTTTATGACCATTGCTGGAAGCCCAGAAAAGTGGACCCCAGCCTTTACCATCACATATTTTTACATCGGCTTTATTTTCTAAGAGAATTTGTACAATATTTGTATGACCATTGCTGGAAGCTTGTGAAAGTGGACTCTCACCATGATCATCACAGAGATTTACATCAGCGTTGTTTTCCACCAGTATTTGTACAACGTTTGTGTGACCATTACTAGAAGCCCAGAAAAGTGGACTCTCACCATTATTATCACAGAGATTTACATCAGCGTTGTTTTCCACCAGTATTTGTACAACGTTTGTGTGACCATTACTAGAAGCCCAGAAAAGTGGACTCTGGTGATTGTTATTACAGATATTTACATCAGCTTTGTTTTCCAGGAGCGTTTGTACAACGTTTGTGTGACCATTGCAGGAAGCAGTGAAAAGTGGACTACAGCCGTTCTTCGTACAAAAATTTACATCAGCTTTGTTTTCTAAAAGCATTTCTACAATGTCTACATGTAGATAACCCATTTCGCAAGCATTGAAAAGTGGACTTCGGCCAAAGAAATCACGTAAATTGACATCGGCGCTGTTTTCTAAGAGTATTTGTACAACGTTTGTGTGTCCATTGCTGGAAGCCAATAAAAGTGGACTCTGGTGAATATTATTAGAGATATTTACATCAGCTTTATTTTCCAGGAGCGTTTGTACAACGTTTGTGTGACCATTGCAGGAAGCAGTGAAAAGTGGACTACAGCCGCTCTTCGTACGAAAATTTATATCGGCTCTGTTTTCTAAAAGCATTTCTGCAATGTCTAGATAACCCATTTCGCAAGCATTGAAAAGTAAAACACATAAATTGGCATCGGCCTTATTTTCCAAGAATATTTGTACAACATTTGTATGACCATTGCTGGAAGCTTGTGAAAGTGGACTTTCACCATGATTATCACAGAGGTTTACATCAGCTTTATTTTCCACCAGTATTTGTACAACGTTTGTGTGACCATTGCTGGAAGCCCAGAAAAGTGGACTCTCACCATTATTATCACAGAGGTTTACATCAGCGTTGTTTTCCACGAGTATTTGTACAACGTTTGTATGACCATTACTGGAAGCCCAGAAAAGTGGACTCCGGCCATTACTATCGCAGATATCTACATCAGCCTTATATTCTAACAGTATTTCTAAAATGCTGACGTGGCCTTTATCGGAAGCAACAGAAAGTGGACTCCAGCCACTGTTTTCACATGAATTTACATCGGCTTTATTTTTGAGAAGCATTTTTACGATGTTTGAATGGTCATGTTGACAAGAAATATAGAGGGGACTCATGCCATTGGAAAGACAAATGTTCACATCAGCCTTATACTGTAGGAGTAGGTGAACTATATTTTCGAATCCATCTTCGCAGGCACAAAACAACGCAGTACGGTTACTCTCATTTGAACACATGTTGATATCGGCTCCGTTTTCCAGGAGTACCTTTGCAGATTTATAATGCCTATTACAGACAGCATAATGTAATGCTGTATAGCCATTATTTTGACAATTCACATCACAATTCATTTTCAGTAAAATAGTAGAAATATTGATATTATTAAATGCTGCTGAAAGATGCAAGGGCATATAGTATTCGTTGTCATATGAAAGTTTCGCCCAAATGTCTTCCCCACAAAGAAATGTTACTCTGTGTACAAGTTCCATGTTTCCATTTGTGCAGCTTGCTAAAAATAATTTTCTACTTTCTAACGTATTTAATGTAAACTTTTCATTTTCAAGCCGTTCAAGGATGCATTCACATATTTCATCATGATTGTACATCAATAGAATATTCAATGCAGAAAGTGTGGGATCGTCCTCAATTATTTCAACTTTGTTCACGAAACGTTTTCGTTCCTCTTCAAAAGCAGCGTCTGAACATGGAAATATTATACGCTGATTTTGGCAACTTATCCATACGTTTATAAAGTCGTAGGTTGCAAGGTCATTTATGCACTTTGAAACATTTTGGATAACTTTCTCATGACGTAATAATGGACAAAGACACACTTCAACAACGTTATTCAACGATATTTCCTTTAAAAATCTATCCACGAGAGAGTCGATATATTTTTCGTCAAGGATTATACAGAAATCATTTTTGTCCTGATCTTTATCCATGTCAATTTTCGAAATAACATGTACTTTTTGTCTGATTAATTTCAAACTGCAGTATTTAAGTAACGTTGCTGGAGAGTTTTCTCCAAAAACAAAACCCATTACATCCTCCAGAAAATCATGCAGAAAACTATAGGTTGACCCCACTTTTTGAACAAATGATCCGACAAGAGAATCTAGATTGTTAACAATAACAACTCTTGAAATGTTTCTTTCTACCTCACAGACCTCACAAATTTCTTCAAATTTTGATCTACTCTGATTAAAATCAAGAAACTTGTCACTATCAATAGTGCCTCCATATAGAACTAGAAGGACAAGAGCTAAATACTTCTCTTTCTTCCCTGCTTTGTATTTATTTATTTCACTTACCACCACTGGAGTTGGATTTTGGAAAAATTCAATTCCGCTTTTTGTATATTCATTTTCAGTAAAAAGTCGGCATAACAACGGAAAAAGTAGTGTGGCTCCTAAGATTACCTCAATCTCTTTTTCTCCTAGCACATCTTTTCCTACATAACACTCTAAAATCCTTCTTTTCTCCTCATTATCTAATTGCAGTTTCTGATCATCGATTTCAACAACATTAGAACTTAACGTACATGCATAAGTCAGTTCATACATTACCGACTTACGACAAGATGTTACAACTTTAATGTTATCATTTTCAAAGATTTTGCTCAAAGATTTGTCGATCTTTAACCATTCATTGAAGAATACTTCGTCTAAATAATACTTTCCAACTGGGTCATCCAAAACAAAGAACTGTTGATGTGGAAAGGACGGATCTGCTATTCGTTTAAATTCCAAAACATGATCTAGTGGAAATACCTGCCAGCCGTCTGCTTGATATTCCAACGCCACGTGACGCGCTATAAACGATTTTCCAGATCCAGAATTACCTACAATGGTTACAATATTTTTTGTCTTCAGTTCTTCTCTGACAGCTTTACAAGCCCTGGTCTCGGCAAATCTTTTGTCCTGGATTTTCCAATCATCAACCAAATGCCGTTGCTTCTTTTCCTCTAAATATGAAATGAATATTAAGTATAGTCTGTTTAATAGATTGATTTATATTTCTTGGTCTTAATCATGTTGTTTTTAAATATGAAGCAAATAGAAATGTAGGATAATATAAGCATACAAAAAGTTGAAATTTATTACAACACATTGTCGTTGGTTCAACATTAGATCAAACTTGTTTTAGATTTTACCCTCTAACAATGTGTTCGACTTCAATTTCTCCTCCATCACTTTCCTCATCTGTTCGTCCATGCAGCATTGGCTCAAGTCGACCAGTTTCTGGTAACAGAGAAGAAAAAGAATTTTCATGTGCTTCAGCCAAAAAAAAAAAAAAGAGTGAATGAAAAGGGAAACAGAGAATACACTGAACTAGCTGCGATTTATCGATTTAAATATCTATATTTTACATTTGTCAGACAAGGAATCATCCATTTTTAAAAATAAGAATTCCACCTACTCATCTTTTAACCTTTTTGCCTTTTTATAATTTTTGCCCGGTCTATTTTTATCAAATCTTTCAGATATTTTTTCAAGATCCAACCATATTATTCGGAATTCAGAATCTGATATTTCCGCTCGAGTGGTATGTCCATAAACTTCATTTCTATAGTAGCGGATTCTTTCTACATCTGCTGCCACTGAGAGATCTGTACCAAGAGGCTTTTTGTTCCATCCAAGTTTAGGTGGCGGAAGTGAGCATAAATTTCTACAAGAAACAAACAGAGCACTTCTAATATCTCGTTTGATTGCTGTTGTAAGTATCTCCTAGCTAGATATATTTCTACATTAAAGAGAAATTTTTTGAGCTTTCGTCAATATTTCTTATTCAAAGAACTTTTATGCAATAAGTAAATGTATCACCCTTTAATCATTATTTATTTAAGGAATCACTGTCTAGTTTTCGCCCGTTGTGCTAAAATTATCCCATGTTTCCCTCTATATATTTTGTTGATGTCCCTGGCATACTCTCAAAACTGGACAGTGATTCCTTATATTTCCATTTCATTGTGAAATAAAATTGTAGACTTAGACATTAAAAATGAAGACTATTAGATTTAAATTACTCGAGGACTTCCATACCAATTTCAATAGTCCTCGCACACTGACGTCAAACACAAAGGCAACCGCACGAGATTTACATGCATATTTGGCCCTTTAGCGTCAGACACAGAGACAGATGCGCAAGAGATTTGCATGCGAATTAGACCTTCTTAGCTGCTGACCTATCGACCTGCCTAATTTACATTCCGGCAGAATTATCAAGAAATAAATTCCCCCAACTTTCAAACAGTTATCACAGAGAAAAATATTAGAAATGGAAATATTTTAACTTATATGGACAATTTTTGCTTTAGTATGAAGAATGGGTCATTTTTGCCCTCTTAATTTGTTGCATGAATTATACTGTAAGTCGTTTTATTTCCACGGTGTAATAATCCTCTTTACAAAGACCATCCAGGCGGCACTGCATGGACAGTGCATGAGATTGCTTATACAAAAAGTCCTTTGAAAAAATATGAAAGCAAAGCAACAATATGGGTTTTAAATCCAAATTTATTCACCTTATCATGATGTACAACAGAGAGCTGTCGAAATCTTCGTAGGAACCTTTAGTGGCGGCGTTGTTGATTACAATCCATTGTTCTGGTCGGAGGCTTGGCAGTTTGGTACATGCATTAGCTTTGCTGGCTATGTCTGATGGTGTGACGTGAGAATCCAGTTCATCTCTTAATATATCAGTATTTAGGTCAACAATGGCCCGGCAAGCTCGGGAAAAATTGGTGTGTGGATCAAGATTTGTAGCCATTCTGCTATTGTCTGTAATCAAATAATATTGGAGAATTTTTTTTTAGCCCTACTGGTTACAGAAGCCTTTGAGCTTTTTGACATTTCATACCACAATTCTCTATCCTTTACGAAAGACCCCTGTTTATTTTGAGATAAAAAGGTCAAAATGTCAGGTAGTAAATTCATACTTTCTGTGTGTGTGAAACTTTTATTTCCGGTCGATATCTGAAGGAGTTTTTGCTTATGGCCCCGCCCGCCCTTCTTAAAGTGCATCCCCTTTAATTGACAACAGCAACCCTCCTCCCCGATCTGCGTATTCTCTTCTTTTTCCTTAACCGGGGGACACGGATTGATAGCCATTTCTTACCTTATTTTACCGTTAAGACGATATGGGAGCACACCAAATATATAATTAACCAATACATCGTTAGAAATCTCAAATTGCTAATGTTATCGATACCGGTACTATAGTTGAAGATGACGACGATTTTAACAGATCTAGACGATAGTTTTTTGCTTAAAATAGTTTGATGTTGAAGAGATAACAATAAAATATTAAAAACTTAAAGCCAAAGACTTGTTTAGGTTTTACCAAAGGTCAATTAAGATATCCAAAATTGTTCCCCATATACAGAATACTTCAGAAAAAAATGATACTACATGTATATGCTTGTCCCCCCTCAATAAAAATGCCCGATGACCTTTTTTTGTTATTGGAAATACGTCCATGACATATGTAAAGACAAAACCCCTATAAAATCCGCCATTTGTAATGTATACTTTCGGTTTTAAATGTTAACATTTGGATAAAATAAACAGGAAAAACATCTTTCCAGAGGCTATCGAAATTCAACTTGTTCTTCATTGATAAACATTAGTTGTTCTGCATTGATGGCTTTCACTAAAAGTTCGGAATTAATTAGGTGTGTGTGTTTTTTTAAATTATATATGCATTTTTTAGAATTTTTCTCGAAAAATATTTTTAAAGTATTTGTTATCAAGTGATACTTTCTATCTGGATTTAAATAAACTGTAAAAGTTTTTTTAATTCACACCTCACATAGTTTTGGAGCTATTGTAAAAATAAATTTTGGACATCTTGACCTTTGGTTCAACCTTAACTTAACTGCTAAGCCATAGACATTTTCAGGGGAAGAAAGAAAAATAACAGACTTGCTTTTGATAAATTCTGCAACTTACTTTATAACCATATCATCTTAGGTTGTTGTGATTCCCAAAAAAATCCAAATGTAATGATTAAAAAAAAAAATATGCAATATACTCCAGGATTATACACAACCATGGCGTCGTTTTGAAAGAATAAAAATACCTTGAGAGTTAATCTAAAAGGAACTACCTTGTTATTGGTCAATGAATCAACGTAACTACAGATCGATATTTGCGGGATATGACACGACTAAGATTCATTATTACACCCCGCTTGAAAAAATGGAGGGTATATAGTGATGTCTGTCTGTCTGTATAGCTGTCCGTCCGTTACAGGCACGTAGCATCGTTTTTGAAAGTGGGGGGGGGGGCCAACCTGAGAAAAATTTTTTACTTACCTAAAAAAACTTTGACAAGCAAAAAACAAAAAAAAAAACAAAAAAAAAAAAACATAATTAAAAATTGCCCCGGGAGTGGCCAACTTTTTTCAAGGCCAACTTCCTTCTTTCACTTCCAATTTTTTCCTGTATTTCCTTGCTATAACTATACTGTGTTAAAAAGTGGGGGGCCAACCATCTTTTCAATGGACATTTTCTATAGTATAGGTAATGCTGGGAAAAAAAGTTGGGGGGGGGGGGGGGGGCAGGCCCCCCCCCCCGGTTGCTACGTGCCTGCGTTACGTTTTGGGACATCCATCTCCGCAACTTCTCTTTTACAACAGAATGAAATTTAATGAAACTTTAACGGAATCTTTGTGTACGGAAGCGTATTAGTGCCACTTGGACACTTCACTTTTTTTTAATTTCTACACTTTAAAGTGTAAATTTTACACATTAATCTGTAAAATTTACACTTTAATCTGTAAATTTTACACTTTAATCTGTAAATTTTACACTTTAATCTGTAAAATTTACACTTTAAAGTGTAAATTTTACACATTAATCTGTAAATTTTACAGATTAATCTGTAAATTTTACACTTTAATCTGTAAATTTTACACATTAATCTGTAAAATTTACAATTTAAAGTGTAAATTTTACACATTAATCTGTAAATTTTACACTTTAAAGTGTAAATTTTACAGATTAATCTGTAAAATTTACAGATTATTGTGTAAAATTTACACTTTAAAGTGTAAATTTTACAGATTAAAGTGTAAAATTTACAGATTAAAGCGTAAAATTTACAGATTAAAGTGTAAAATTTACAGATTAATGTGTAAAATTTACAGATTAATCTGTAAAATTTACAGATTAATCTGTAAAATTTACACTTTAAAGTGTAAATCTTACACATTAATCTGTAAAATTTACACTTTAATCTGTAAATTTTACACTTTAAAGTGTAAATTTTACATTTTAATCTGTAAATTTTACACTTTAATCTGTAAATTTTACACATTAATCTGTAAAATTTACACTTTAAAGTGTAAATTTTACACATTAATCTGTAAATTTTACAGATTAATCTGTAAATTTTACAGATTAATCTGTAAAATTTACAGATAAATCTGTAAAATTTACAGATTAAAGTGTAAAATTTACACATTAATCTGTAAAATTTACACTTTAATCTGTAAATTTTACACTTTAAAGTGTAAATTTTACATTTTAATCTGTAAATTTTACACTTTAATCTGTAAATTTTTCACTTTAATCTGTAAAATTTACACTTTAATCTGTAAAATTTAAATTTTATTTGTTTATTCACACAGTCAATTTAGCATCTTCACACATCCTCAGTAACACATTTTTAAGCCAACAGACCATGTTTCGTGTATGATAAAATTTAATCCTCATGTTTTATATTAAAATAAAATTTTTCTTTATAAAGTGAAGAGCATATCAATCATACATGCACATATTCCCGATCACAGTGCTTAAGGACCCCTCCCCCCTCCCCCCAATATAGATTCCAGGGCATGTTAGACTTTCTTCACATGAATAATATATGCATGACACAATTGTGATATAGTCTATAAATCCTATAAATTCAGAAGATTTGCTTAAACTAACATTTTATTGGCTTACAAATGTTTTACTGAGGATGTGTGAAGATGCTAAATGTGAATAAACAAATAAAGTGTAAATTTTACAGATTAAAGTGTAAAATTTACACTTTAAAGTGTAAAATTTACAGATTAAAGTGTAAATTTTACAAATTAAAGTGTAAAATTTACAGATTAAAGTGTAAAATTTACACTTTAAAGTGTAAAATTTACACTTTAAAGTGTAAAATTTACACTTTAAAGTGTAAATTTTACACATTAATCTGCAAAATGTACACTTTAAAGTGTAAATTTTACAGATTAAAGTGTAAAATTTACAGATTAAAGTGTAAAATTTACACTTTAAAGTGTAAAATTTACAGATTAAAGTGTAAATTTTACAGATTAATGTGTAAATTTACACTTTAAAGTGTAAATTTTACAGATTAATCTGTAAATTTTACAGATTAATGTGTAAAATTTACAGATTAATGTGTAAAATTTACAGATTAAAGTGTAAAATTTACACTTTAAAGTGTAAAATTTACAGATTAAAGTGTCGAAATTAAAAAAAAAGGAAAGTGTGCAAGTGACACTAATACGCTTCCATATTTGTGACATATAGTGCCATTGTGCATCTCCCATTTTTCATTTTGATCTGACACTTATTTCAGGTCTTCCAGAGCAAAGCATGAACTTTGCATTATAATGATGTGAGAGGCTTCCTGGGGGGGGATCATTTATTATACCCCCGCATAGAAAAGTGGGAGGGTATACTGTAATCGGTGTAATCGGTATGTCCGTCCGTTTGTCTGTTACGCTTTGGGGTACCCATCTCTTATCCGCAATTCCTCTTATATCACTGAGTGAAATTTAATGAAATTTTCACAGAATTTTTATTACACACTGCCATTGTGCACCTCCTATTTTATTTTTTGATCCGAGCCATATATTGGGTTTCACGGCCACAGCAAAACATGGCATAGGCGTCGAAACCGGGGGGCTAGGGGGGCTTAGTCCCCCCCCCCCTTTTTTTCCAAATACATATACTTAGTATAAACATTGAACATTGTTTCGTAGGTTTGCCCCCCCCCCCACTTTCCACAGACACGTCGCAGTATAGGTAAAAAAAATGGGGAAAGTGGTGGTGTTTGGAAAAGAATTCGGTACTGAAGTCTAAGTTCTAAGCTAACATCCCCCCCCCCCCTCCACGAAATAGGATTTTCTTGTTTGGGAAATGGACATTTTTTTATTTTTTTGCTTGTCAGGTTTTTTTTAGAAGGTACAGAAATTTTTTGTTACACTTAGCCCCCCCCCCCCCCCTTTCAATTTGCTTCCGACGCCAATGCATGGACTTTGCCATTTATTATACCCCCGCTTGAAAAGCGGGAGGGTATATAGTGATCGGGATTTCCGTCCGTCCGTCCGTCCGTCTGTACGTCCGTCCGTCCGTCTGTTACGCTTTTTCTCTTATCCGCAACTCCTCTTATATACTACTGAGTGAAACTGAATGAAACTTTCACAGAATCTTCATTACATATTGCCATTGTGCACCTCCTATTTTACTTTTTTATTCAACACGTATTTTAGGTTTCTCAGAGCAAAACATGAACATTGCCATTTTTTGTTTACCTATGACGTCACATAATAGAAGCTTCTGGATAACATTTGACGGGACGAGTTATTCCTCTTTACACATTACCGTAAAACAATATAAAGCAACACATCGACATTATGGGAGGCGGGGGGTATCATTTAGTGAGCTCATTGCTCACAGTACCTCTAGTTTATATTCATATGGGAGGTGGGGATATCAGTTAGTTTTTTGCAATTTTTATCGATCTTTTTAACTGCCCAAACATACTTTCTCGATTACATTTATAATACAATATTTACATTTCTAATGTCTTTGTCCGACATAAAATTACAAATAGGTGATGCACTTTATCTCCCCATCAATGTACTGATTCATCAATAGGTGCGGAATTAAATAATCACGTGCAGGGCGGGACAAATAGCTAGTAAGAAGCAGGGCTTGGAGTACGTGGATTGGCGGAATCAAAAGCATGTAAATATAAGGAATATCTGTCAGATTTTTTAATTTCATGACGATGATCAATCGATTGCATGGCTTGCTTGATAATTCGATCGGCGTTTATGCAAATTATCACGCAAGCCAATCGATTGATCACATCAAGAAATCGAAATATAAGACAGTTATTCCTTAAGTACATCAAATAACTACGATATTAAACATATAGAAATACATAAAGAGATAAAAGAGAGGGACATTGAATGATTTTTGACTCAACAAAAAAACTTACCACACTCTTCACCGCCTCCTCGCCAAAATCTAACACTTCCTCGTAATCTATTAATATTGTTACTGCCATTCTGAAATCTACAAGAAAAATTGCAATTCGTATAAGTGTTTAGTTATATTCATAATAAACACAATAATCCAGACGTTATAAAAAATATGGACACGAAGAAGAACTTTGATAATTTGATACACATCTATGTGTATCAAAGTTCTTCTTCATGTCCATATATAGATCTATGACATTCTTTGCTCTTTTCCTTGTATCTTTTCATTAAAATACATGCTATTAGCACTGGTATACTAAATATGTTTGTATACCCATTCCATGCAGATTTGATTAAAAGCGAATTTTTTTTAAAATTATAAATATATGGCCAATGGAAATATTTAATGGTAGTTTATTCAGTACAGTGCATATTTGAAATTTTGATTACGATTTAAAACTTGATTTTTTACACCAAGAACAAAGTACTCATGAGCCCCCCCAAAATCAATTCATTATTAAAATTGCATATTCGCTGCATGTTTTTATCTTCCATGGAAATCAAATAAAAGCATTTGAAGTAATTATGATATCTTAAAATTATGAAAAGCGTTGTTAAAAAATCCTATACATTTTATTTTAAAACAGTGATAACAGCATTTTTTCTACAGCCAAGTAGCAAGTTAGGTCTGAGGAGGAAGGTCTGCCTCTCCATTTTTTCCCCAGATATAACGCTTTACTATTGTAGATCTTCATTGAAATGTCCCCCTTTCCCCCAATTTTTGTTGCAGTCAAATATTAGCCTACTGATACATCTCATATATGTAGCGGGTGTAGTACTTAACTTGTGCGAATAAAAATATGAAACGAATATTAAATTCGGTACTGCAAAAAGTTGGAACTCCCCCATTCCTCCAAAATAGGATTTTCAAGTTTTTACAATACATGTATCTTTTTTTATTCAATTATTGTAAAGTTTACCCTAGGAGTAAGCCCCCCCCCCCCTTTTTGCCAATGGTGCTGCGTTCCTATTCTTTTCTTTTGTCTCGGGAAAACACAGTGCTATTGTCCCTGTAAAAATAGAATACAATTAGGCTTATTAATTGTTTATAATAATATGGAAATAGAAACATTTGGCCAGCTGTGAAATATATATGGCAGAAGATCGAATAATACAGTGAATGTCTTATCTGACTTCTATTTCCGGTTATAACCAAAACGAGGTTCTATAAGAAAGTGTGGATGTCGTATTTGTAACTTTTAGAGAAAAACAACAATAAAACATCGTAGGAAACGGTGATTTATAATAATTTTGTTAGATTTTTTATTCATGTGTTTATATATATTTCATATTTATGTGTGAATTCTTTTTTTTAATTTGTTCGGCGGATTGCTTCTTAGATTGCAGGAGATGTATGCAATGGCAATTGATCAATAATGTGTTTTGTAGGAGAAGAAAGCGCCCTATATTCTCAAATACATGTTATAAAAAATGTTGTATTTCATAGAAATCACTTATGTTTACGATTCATTGATTTTATAGTGCGTGGCTTGAGACGGTGGTTATGTAATTTAGTATATTTACCCAGGCTCTAAAATCTATAAAATAATCTTCATTCATTCAATCATTGTTTGTACTTACTTAATACTGATTTTAATTTCAGTCAAAAAGAAAGAAGAAACGGATACTTGAAACTCGTTTTTATTCAAAACAATTTAACTAATTTTTTTAAACTATGGAAGAAGAGGAAAATGAGTTGGTTTTTATGGAATTTTCCGTAGTAGATGAATGTGGCAGTGAGGAGGAAGAAGAAAATGATTCTCAACAAGATGGGATCCATGTCCTTGATGAAGAAGATTCGACAAAACCCTCAGTGAATAATGACATGTTTGCAGATATGGTGGTGCTGGACATAAGTACAAGTCCAACAAAAGAATTAGAAGAAAAAGATGAGAAATCTCGCACATCTCACAGATCTGATAGGTCTTGTAACAGATCAGAAGACTACAGAAGTCCTTATAGGGAGAGGTCCAGTGGGGATAAGAGGAGTTCAACTAGAGAAAGGTCAAGAAGGGAGGATGATAAAAGAAGAGATAGGAGAGATAGAAGTAGATCAAAGGAAAGTCGTTACAGGTCGAGTTCTGATAGGAGAAGACGATCAAGAGAAAGAGATAAAAAAGTACAAGAGAGCACTTCTGCTCGTAGGGATACTCGAAAGACACCAACAAAGCAGCCATCAAAATCTTCTGGAGGTCAACCATCAACATCAAGTGAGAAAAAAGATGCACCAACAAAAAGTCATACGTCCTTACAGACGCCTACAGCTAAGACTAAAATAAATACTCCTACAAAAGAAGTTAAATTCACTGAAAAAAATAAAGAAATCAAGGAAAAGTCGACGAAAGAAAAAGTTTCTGTAAACAAAGAAGATACAGATGGCGAGAGTGATGGTGAGGGAATAACAATCAGTGCTGATGACAACATTCTGGGGGGAATGGAGTTTTCAGATCTGAATAAATCAGACTTTGTCACATTAACAGTTGTGGATGAAGATCAAAAAGAAGACACAAAAACTGAAATTAGTCCCAAAAAAGAGACATCTGCAAAAAGTTCAAATCTGGATACAAAACAAACTGGAAAAGTAGAGGCAAAACAAGAAGTTTCAGCTCAGAGTTCCTTAAAGAAACAGGTACCAGAAGCAATTGAAATTGTTGAAAAAAACGCTGAAAAGTCCAAGATGGGTCAAGCTTCAGAAAAGGCTGTCCCTGAAAAAGTAGCTCAGAAGAAAGTTTCTGTAGAAGTTTCAGAGAAATCCATGCCTGAAAAGGTGACAGAGAAAGCAGAATCTAAAGAGATCGAGATGGTAGTGGTTGAAAACGTTAATAAAAGTGAAAAACCGGAGCCAAAAACAGAGGCATCGTCTATTTCTCAAAGAAAAGAAGTTAATAAAGATCCAGACAAATTCAAAGTTACAGAAGAATTATTTACTGTAGAATGGATCAACAAAGCCAAGAAGGAAGTCAGTATTATTGGAGTAGATAATCTTGAAAAAGATGAAAAGAAAGAAGGAGCAGGAAATGAGAAGGAGAAGAAGAAAGACTCTAAGGAGCCAGAATTAGTAGAGGTGGCAGATATTCCCGAAAAAGATGATGTATGTATAATAGGCATAGAGGAAACCCGTGACAAGAATGACGCAAAAGAGCAAGATTTGATTGGGGTTGCACCCGTCTTTGACAAAAGTGAAATAAATGCAGAAGCTAAAGATAAAACAAATTCAACACAGGCTGATGTTAAAGGTAAAGAGAGCCAAGAAGAGAAACTAGTTGAAGTTGCAGACGATAAAGAGGAAGAGATGGAAATTAGCATTATAGATGAGTTAAATGTAGACACCTCAAAAAACTCGGAGATAACAGAAGAAGCAGATGACGATGTCATTGAAGTGATCTTCAGCAATGGTGAAGATGAAGAGGAAATTCCAGTAAACTCCAAAACAGAATTTGACAATACTTTTATGGGTGGAAATGTAAAAAACGACAACTCTAAGACTTCAATGCAAAGCATGAAATTAGCAACTGAGGAACTGGGTTTGTCAAAGATGAAGCCTCAAATAGAACATGAAAATAGCAATCAAGAATCAATGGAAAGACGAGGTCAGAATCTTTCATTATCAGAAAAGCCAGTGTTATTAGATGAAGACTCTGTAAAGGACATTGAAAGCATTGGTGAACCTGAAAATATAATTGAAGACGGGGTGGAGATTATTGTGCTCTCAGACACTGATGTTGAGGACGACGATAACGAAGTTGAAATTAAAGACACTGTACCAAAACAAGGAATTGCTTCAAAGGCAAAGAGCTCTGAAGAGAGACTAGAAGATGTTGAAATGAAGGAAGAAGGTTTCTCCAATCCAGCAGAAGACAACCTGATAGAAGATGGCACAGAGATCATCATCAGGGATGAAATGTCAGAGGATGAAGAAAAAGATGATGATTTGGGGGAAATTGATGAGGAAGCCTTCCTAGCAATGATGCAGAGTGAAGGTTTGGCCATTGAGGACAATGAGGAGGAGAAAAAAGATGTAAAACAAGGGGAAGAAGAAAGTAAGAATGAGCAGGTGGATATTGATAAACATTCCGAACATTTGTTGATAACTGTTAGTCAGTCTTCAGAGAAAAGGGATGTTAAATCAAGCACAGATTCCGAAGAAAAATCAACAACAAAGTCACCTATTGATAGCATCTCGTCAAACCTTGCGAAGTTAAGAAAGGAATTTGAAAGTATCTTGAAGCGATCTGAATCAAGCAACAATGAGGAAAACGAAAAAGACAAATCTGTAGGGAGTTCTCAAGAAAGAAGTAAAGACAGAAGTTCTAGAGAAAGAAGCAAAGACAGGGGTTCAAGAAGTTCCAGAGAAAGAAGTAAAGATAAGAGTTCAAGGGAGAGAAGTAAAGATAGGAGTTCAAGGGAGAGAAGTAAAGATAGGAGTTCAAGGGAGAGAAGTAAAGAAAGAGGTTCAAGGAGCTCTAGAGAGAGAAGCAAGGAAAAGGACTTGCAGAAATCCACCCACAGTGAGAAAGATCTGAGGCGGGTCATTCTCGGCAAGAAATCCCAGAATTCCAGAGATCTGAGGGATGTGATCAAAGGGAGAAAGGCCAAAGGAAGTGAAAGCAATGAGGCAGAGGGAGACCAAGGAGAAGGTAACTTATATATGACTGTATGATGTAGAAGTGCTTTGATTTTCTAAGTGCACATCTTCACTATTTTGAAACACCATCTCTTACATCATTACATATATTACTTGTATTGACTATTGAAATCTGTTCTTGAATTTTAAGTTCATGACATAAATGTTGTATTGTCTTACCATACTGGATAGTGTTCTGTTTTTTAATCACTGGAAAACAATGAACATTTCATGATTTTTTATATTTTATAGATCACTAGGGTTTGAATTATGGTTGTTTTATTGTAGAGTTACCCCCTGAAGCGGATGAATATTGGGAAGCTGAAGGTATTTGATTAAAGATGTACATGTTTATGTGTCACACAAACTTTAGGTCAAATTTTCATTGGTATAAATGCCTGTTTTTGTCTTCTGCACTCATCTGTCAGCATATTTGAAATATTTATCCAAATATTAGTAATTTAGTATACTGAACTCACAGAACATAGACACCCCAAGCAAAGAGAATAGTGTCAAAAAAAAATCAAGAAAAACACCTCTTCATTTAAATCTTAAATGCAGTCAAACCTCATCATCTCAATCTCTTTTTGACTGAGAGAAAATTTCAAGATACTGTACGAACTATTATTTGTGTCATATCTTTTATCTGCAATTTGTCAGTTTGAAATGAATTAATGCTATAAATTTTTGCGACTATGGAAAAAAATCTGTATATGTACATACAAATATTCCCAGTTAAAGCAAAATAAATGGTTCTTTCTGATTAATGTGGATATTTGTCACACACAAATAAAAAGTTGGTTTACAGTATTTGAATTTGGGTCCGAGAAGTCCAAGGTATACAATATTCATGGGTACTTATGTAGCAGGAATGGATTTTGTTATATGCATTTATGCCTTGTATTTGAGAAATAACATGTTGTTATCAATGTTTTCATACCTATATGCGTATACTGCCTTATCCCTAACACATTTGTTTATATTTAGCATGTTTACAAACCTTCTCAGGGAAAAGCACATGTTGCTTCCATCAAATCTTTTGGGCTAATGTTTATCTAAATTTTGATTGGCTATTTATACGGAAGTTAACCTTTTGGGTGTCACTAATATCAGTCAAAGTTCATACCCTTCGGGTGTAAATTTTGGCAAAGTATTTTGACTGTCCGAAATAAGTGGAGTGCTAGCAAAAATATTTGATTTTTCTTTCCGAATTCCACCTGTAACTGAATTTTCATTTACATTTCCGACATCAAAGTTCCGAAAATCTTTTTCAGAATTTTCGGAACATGACAATGAAAATTTACAAACTCGAAATCAATCAAATTCAGAAAAAGATTTTCGGACATTAGCCCAAAAGATTTGATGGAAGCAACATGTGCTTTTCCCTGAGAAGGTTTGTAAACATGCTAAATATAAACAAATGTGTTAGGGAATTACGCATATAGGTATGAAAACATTGATAACAACATGTTATTTCTCAAATACAAGGCATAAATGCACATAACAAAATCCATTCCTGCTACACTTTTTGACAGGCCCCCCCGTCCCCCCCCCCCCCCCCCCCCGAATAAGATTTCCTGAAAAGGGCAATGTTTAGACATTCTTTAGATGTATCAAACATTGTATTGTACTTCATCGAGACACTACCCCCCAACCCCAACCCCCTTCTGAAGGATTCCCTCCCGCATAGATATTTGAGAAAACTCAAATTTGCGTGAAAACACAAGAAAGCAGAGTTAACATAGAATTTTTGTTGTGTGATTGTAGAGGAGTTAGTAGAGGTGGACTCATTCTATGACGACTACAAGGAGAAGAAGGTAGAAGTTGTGGTGGTGCAGGATCAGACATTGTTACCCACCGAGAAAGAGCACTGGGGGTTCGACACAGTGGGTGAAGGTAATGACCTATAAAGGTGTCTCAATCAAAATGTAATGAGGTTTGATTCATAACCTTTGACTATTTTGAAGTTAAAATGCATAGTGTACATAGTTGTTATCCACTAATTTGCCAAGTAAGAACCAAATTGAAATACTGTATATAAAAAAAAAAAAAAAAAAAAAAAATTCCACTTGGTCCTATATTTTTATCAAATAACAATTTCTTTTCAGTCCATAGGTAGAGAAAATTTCTTAAATGCACTTGGCATATGCTTTGACAAATTTTGTGACTGCATACTTCATGTAAATTTATCCCTGGTAGAAAAATAACAATTTCTTTTCAATCCATAGGTAAGAAAATCTTTAAATGCAAATTTCTTTATAAAAAATTTTGTGACTGCATACTTCATGAAAAGAAATTTATCATTAACTAATGTAAGAAAAATGTACAGCATTTTTCAACCAAGTATGAAAAATTATCTGGGAAGTGAGAGTGCTGTTTTTATGTTGGAAAGTTCATCACACAGAATTTGAATATGACAGGGGATTTGATAAAAGGAAAAAATCAGATTTATTAACGGACATAGTTTGACTAATGTAAAATAATGACCTATTGCAAACATTTTGAATCAATTTAGAATACCAATGAAAAAAATGTCGGAGCTATGCCATGTAAGTGAAAGTGCTGTTTTATATTAAACAGGTTTTGATGCTTTCTTTGTGGATCTGAATGATGGACAAGGGTATAGTCAATTTGCAGCAAAGTGGATCATTTTATACTATAAATGCTTTGGTCTATTTATCACCTCGCAAGTGAGTTAAGGCTAAATTTAGGTTTTTCTATGCAAATGAGCTATTAAAAATGCATGGTAAAATGTAATGTTATTTTTTTTTTAAAAATTTTAAAATTGATTTTCTTATACAGTTTGAGATCCAGAATATTAATGCAAGTGCACATTATGACATGCTAAAACAGGGTTCTTTCCCAATTCAAGGTAATAAAACACATCAACAAAACAATTTGTAGCAAAGTCATATCCTATTTTTTGCTATAAATGCTTAACTCACTTGTGCACCTTCAAGTACTTTCATCATTTAACAGATAACAGCAGGCAAAAGGGCAGCAATTTCCTTGTTATCTATGTAATATCCCTTTTGTGAATATATATTATAGAAAAGCTAAATGAAATTTGGTAGTGTTTCTGGTATCCAGAAATTCATGTGAACTTTAAGGACTACAACATATGATGTTATTGATTTCCCTTACTACTGGCTAAAAGTAAATTATTGATGTTTATAAATACATTGGTAAAGAATGCCTTTATTTTCTGAATTTACAGTGTTCTGTACATTGACAACTCTGAGTTGAAGACGATGCGTCCTTTCATCATGATTGGGAGAATCGCAAAATTCCTGAAGGACCACCCTCATGTTGAGATGGAGTGTGAGAGAGCCATTTCCTTCCTTCTGGGTAAGCTGACTCTACTGTAGTGTGGTGGCCATTTTCTCCAATAAATAAATGTTTTTTGTTCACCTGGTAAAGAAAACAATCACACGTGCATATACCATAGGTTTCTTTATTCTACATATATATTGATATGAGTAATTGATATTGGTAAGTGGCCCATAGATGTGATATTTCATGAGAAGAATAATTTACAAGTTGATATCAAGATTTTACTTGGGATTTCAGCACACACAAAAAATAAGGAAAAAAAATCAAAATTAAGTTAATCTTTTTGTGAGTGGTGCTTCTATTGAAATTAATTTTGAAATCTACATAAAGAAAATTGGAGGCACAATACCTTGAGGATGATGACTCGATTTTTATCTAATTTTTATCTGGTTTTATTTTCCAGAGGAAAAATTGAAGACTGTTGGCATCAAGAAAAAGAGTATGTATTTATGCATTTCTTAAGGTTTTATCTTCATTCCCATCATTTTCATATTGTAAGAACCCATTAAAGAGAGGAATTTAACCAACTCTTTAGGTTTTAAGAATTTTTATATGTAGTTCACACTTTCTACTAATTCCTTTGTTAAAGTCTACTAATTCTTTCTTTGTTCAGGTGTTGATTGTTATTTGAATATGTTGATTTTTTCCCCTTTAATTGTTGTAGCTGAATCACATTTGAATCACTAGAGTTTCAATGTATATAAATATATTTGAATCACGGTGATATCCATAGATAACTTTGTTTAGTGAATAAATGAACTGTATATATTTTTTTCTTGTATGAATATAAATGAAATGTTTGCTTGATTTTCAATACATTGAAATTCAGATCAACTGAAAAATGAAGAAAAATATACCACCCTTTCTGATTGTACGGAGTATAGCTTTCAGTCCAAGACAGGAGCAGGTGCATCCCATAATACAAATCTAGTCAGCAGATACTCTGGTTTTGGTCTTATTAATGAGACAGTTTTTTTCATCTTCTTCTATAATTGTACAACTGATCTGTACAAATTCACCTTATTTAATAAATGGTCTTGTTTAAAATCCCCCTCTTTAAATTATTTTAAAATATTTCCTCTTTATAACTTTTCATGAAAGTTAATTTTAAATACTAGAAGAAATATTCACATATTTACTAGTAGTGCAAATGATCAATCAAAATCAATATATGATGTGATGCAGTGATGATGTGTCATGTAATGAGTTTACATATGGTCACAAAGAAGGGAATTTCTCATTAGACTGTAAGGAATTGTATCCTGTCACACATAGCCCCTCATCTAGACTGTTGAAGACTTTCCAGCAAGTTCTGTCATCAGGATGTCATAAGCTTATTTTGAAAAATGACACTTTGAGACATCCAACAAATATTTTTTAGACTGGATTTTTATTTGACATTTGTTTTAGTGCAAATGTGAGTGTGTTTTATCGTTGAGAGCACGTGATCGTTGAGTGTGTTATTGTTTTGAATACGTGTTTTATTGAGTGTGAGAGTGTTTTTTTTAAGTCAAAGTTTTTAACAAAGCATGAAATTTCTCTTGCTGCATGTTGGAAAGTTTAGGTTGATATTTCCCTAGTCACCCCATCTCGCACCTAGAACTACATGTACCAACAAGGAGACAGTTCCTGTGTTTGAAGAGAAAACTTTGCCATTTTCTTTAATGTAAGACTTGCACATACCCACATCAAATTGTGGAAGATGACATTGAATTTCTTATAATGATTATGATTTATTAAGTAATTCAGTGGTTTTCTTTAAGGCTGACACCTTTTGCTGTGGAAGAACAAAAATGTTTGTTAAAATACAGAAATTATGTTTTACATATATTTGCATGTGTTTCTATATCATATTTACCATTATTTCAAATTTAGTCTGTTTTCAAAGCGAGAATTGTTAAAGTTGTAAATGTACGTGTCATTATATGAGAGGAGTTGCCTGAAGTGAATGAAAGAGATAGATGAGAATAAGACGTGTAGATCTTTCATCAATTCATACATCAATCAGATATTTCCGGTGAAAAATTGCATACTTTATTAAATGGAAAAAAGTGCATGATACACAATAGGAGTCCATAACCTGGAATTGATACAAAATGTCAACATCTATCATCTGCTGGGTCCTCTTTTCTTCAATTGCTGTTGAAGCAGAGCCTATCTTGGACGAGATGACTGGAGGTGTCCCTGTCTTAGCTAAACATTATATGACAGCCCTGATGTGTCATTCCTGGCTGCCTTGGTGTGTAAAACTAATCTTCAAAGAGCTTTTGAAAATGATACTTTGTATGCTATGTAAAGCTTTTTACAGTATTATGTGGACATTTTGCAACTGTAAGGCATATGAATGCTTTTCTTCACATTCTATACTGCTGTGATGTTTAAACCTGTGTTCTCAATTTTTTCAAAGTTCCTCTTCAAGGATAGCTTCCAATTCACCTGCTTCAGATTTTCATTTGCTGTCAGCAATATCACAAGGAAAAAAAACAGAGATTCATCATTGCTTAAAATTACCCATAATCCTCAAACATACATGGAGGGATCTCAGCAGTTCAAGTGGTTGGACTCCTGTTTTAGAGATTTAGATATGGAATTCACAGAACATCACAAATAATGAAGACTGTTAATGAGGTTTGCTAGTGTCTCTATAGAAATATGTCAAGCTGATTGATCTCATATAGATGGCAAGATAAAGGCCCTTCAATTAAGACAAAAGAGTAATTGACCATGACATTATTTCAAGGAGAATCAAATAGACTTAATGACAAAGAATGCAATAAAAAAAAAACCCACAGTGTACTGCTTTCTGGAATAGTCTCTTTCACCAGAATAATATAGACTGATGAACAATTCAACAGGAGGTAGGGGGTAGTAAAGATCTGAAGCCAGAACATTTTTTTCACACTGCATATAGCAACTCTTTCCATGGCAGATACTGTTGAAGCAGCAATTCTTTTGAAGCAGCTGGTAATGGAGAAACCCATAATTGATGATGAACTACTTAGTTATTGTGTCTGATATACACCATATTATCCAGATGCAAACCATTTAGCCAGAAGTCAGAAAACTCCCAAATTTTTCTCCCAAAACCATTAGGAATTCAAACATTCCCCCAGGACACCTGCCAAAACACAGCCATAGTTGGAATTTTCTGAATGTCGCAATTATGTAAACAGTCGAATTTAATATCTTAAATATCTATTAACATCAATATAGCAGATAAATTATTGGAAGCTGCAACCACCTTATTATGTATTTTAACCATGGAAAATGTGGAGTAATCATCAGATATCTTGAAGCAGAGTAAACAGACCTCAAGGAAAATCAGAGGTGGGATCAAGTGCCATGGAGGAGTGAGCATCCCCTGCTGACTGGTCACATCTGCCATAATCCTCTGAACAAACTTACGTGTACAGTCATCCTGGCATCTGAATCCTGACAACATGGTGCTCGAAATCGCATAAAATGACGAGAAAGATGGAAAATTAAAAAACAAAGAGAAATAATTTATTCTCATTCACCAGAAAATTGCAAGAAGACTATGTTAGGTTGACAGGACAGAGATGAAGGCAGCAATAGTTTGGGTAATGAAAATACGGAGAGATGAACCATTGTATTGAATATTACGGGATCTCATAAACTGACGCCTCAAAGGTATTGATTCAAATTGAGTTGCAGAGAAATACACACAGAAATCCAGGTCAAGGCAGACACTCCAGGATAATAGAATAGTAAGATAACTCCAAAGACTGGATTTCTATCAACTGAATGAACTGATGGCAGATGCACATTTGCAGACTGTAAATATGGTGAAGAAAAAAACAATTTTGCACTTAATGTACGGTATACATTGTTATTTTCGCCCCGTTTTATTTTCACCCTTATTCACTTCACCATTTTTGCCTTATTTTAAATTGGCATAGTCACAGTTCTGTTAAAGAAATTATACTGTGTTCTTTGAATTCACCCCGTTTTAAATTTGCCCACTTATGACATGGGCAAAAGGAGCAAAAATTTTACTGTGTACAGTAATGTAAATGTTGCTAGTTTGAAGTGAGGAATAGATAATCTTGAGGAAAACTTTCTTTAAAGTGTGAAACTGAAGGGGAAAAACCCTGGTGGACCAGATCAGGATTTGAACCATGAATGCCTACCCAGCTGAGCCATCAAGCCATTGGTAAGCCAATCTAGAAGACCTCTTTAGAAGTAAGAAAAATTCACAGATTAATGCCCACATCAAAGAGATGCCAAGGTGCAAGGTTATAATCAAAGGATGTAGCTGTACAAACTAGACAAGAACAGGATCCATTGAATTCAGGATTGGTTTCTGATTTGAGAGTAATGTCTCAAGATAGCTGTCATAAAAAAAGATGTTGGATATGTGATGGATATGTGAAAGCCAAAGCCAATGATTATAAAAGAATGGTGGAGAGACATTTATCAATAGGGAGAACACAAATAAACATAGCACTCCCCATCCAAAAGCATAAATATTCAGGGAAGCCACATACCAGTATTAAAAATTTAAAGAAAATTTTTTGTTAAAGATGTATTCTGGAAACAGTGGAACTGCAGATTGCCAAGTTTGTACCAGCTGTCCATTTCAAAGAAAAGAATTCCATGTACAAATAGTGTGAGATGGTTTTGAGAGTGGTTCAAAATTTGAGGAAAATTGGGAGGTGATTGAGCATTTGTGTAATGGACTTATAGCTTGGAGAAGGATTTAACTTGATAAGTTTCCAAAATGATTTGAATTTTTCCATTTGCTGTATTTATGTAATATATTATAACATGCACTCTAAGTATGTAGATATATAGGGTCAAGTGAGTTACATATATGTAGAATTTGGATGCTGTTGGAAAGATGGATTTGGGACCCAGAAGTGCTGTTTCTTTTTCATTTTATGCCATAGGATTATTCTAGACTAATCACTGCATATATGAAATATATAATGATTTTGTATATACTTTTGTTTCTGTTCAAATTCTATAATATTAAGATGTGTGAAAATTTATTACATAAAAACCAAATTATTTTTCAGATCAGATCCCCAAAAGAGGTTTGCTGTATATCCGTGGGGTTCCGAATCATGTGTCGGAGGAAAAACTTGCAAAATCTCTCAAAGCCATTGAGGCTATTATACCTAAAAATCTCATGGATAAACGAATAGGGTAAGTTTTTCAGATAGTGATGAAGATTGCTGGCTACAGGACATTGCTAATGGTAAGTAAAGGAGAAACTTTGAGGAAGGGGTCATTGGAAAGTTTCTCTGACCAAAAAGGGAATATCTACAGCTGGTTCTTATAGGCCGAAAGTCCAAGAAAAAGACCATACCATAAAAAATGACCATACCACAATCATCATATGACAGGAGTTCTTTCAACTGCAACTATGCCTTTGGTTAAGGGCAGACAGGATTCAGATGCTTTTAACTTAAGATATAAAGAGTGCTAAAAGGTCAACTAGCCAGCCATTCTTCAGGAATGAATAAATTTACTTTGTTAAGATTCTCTTTGCATAATATTCCAAATAACCTTTTTTTTCATACACAGCATGCAGGAATTGATAGTCACCTGTATATGTTGTGTTTGGCCCATCTGTCTGTCAGTATGTATATACAGATGTTTGTAATTTATTTGATTGATTGTTTATTGTTTTGTCATTTAATTGAAGAGACAGCTTGAAGAGACATGCAGCTATGAAGGAATTTAATATTTTAGTCATTTTCAGAAGGATCTTTCAGAAAAAAATTTTGGTAATTGAAAACTTAGAATACATTTCGCAGATAGTTTACTGTTACATGCAACAGCATTATTGTGTAGAAGTTAGTTTGCAGGTTAGAAAAAAAGAGTACCGCATATTTTTTTATCATCTCACAAACAAAAGTATATTTATTGGCTTATTCTAAATGGAAAAATGTAAGTTTCTTTTGTGCACATATCAAAGCAACAAAAATGGTAATGCAAGAAATGTAAAAATTCAATTCTGAATTCAGATCTAGATCCATTAAATGATGGAACAAACAATAAGTGCTTTGGGACCATAAAATGGCATCTATATATCAATGTGTCAATATTTCTCCATATGTTTATGAAAACAGAAAGAACATGTGTCCAGGATTTTTTACCCTTTTCCGGCCATGCTAACTGACTTTGGCTTAAATGCTTTCCAAATGCACCACCAGAGAGAGAGAAGAAGCAGAAAGAACCAGAGACAAGAGTCTAACCCAGCCTGCATGAACTCAAGCTAGGTGCACTTCCAACCTTTCATTTGGGCCACAAGTGAATAAACCTACTCACCATAACATTCCTTTCTCCTTGATTGATTTTGTCTTTGGAGCCATCAACACAAAGTCATTCTGTCAATTCCAGAACCAAAAATTACCAAAAGTAACAGACGATGACTTGGCCAGAGATCAATTTGAGGGAGCTGCAAACAGGTATATACTGCCAGCAAGGCTGTGTGGTCATCACTGAGGACCTTCCTGACCAAAGATCTACCTGAATCACCAGAAGTTGAATCATATATCATTATGTGTTGACTTGTGTGTCCGATACAAGAGTTAATTTTCACATCACTGGTGGTTCACCGTACCCTCCTATGGCATTATGTTTGTGGCTTAACAGGTCTATGAACCTTTTCTGGCATGATTGCTGATGATTGACAGGAATTTTTGAATGGCAACTTGGAGAAGGCCTTCCATCTCACTTTTAATACACGTATAGCCTTAATTTTTTCAGCATTTATGGTTTTGGACATAGCATTTTTGAACTACATGCACCACCACATCTTTGTAACCCCTATACCCCACATATACTCTCTTTTTATGCGCCCGGATCGATAGATCTGGGGCGTATATTGTTTTTGTCCTGTCTGTCTATCTGTCTGTTTGTTTGTCCCAAACATTAACCTTCACCATAACTTTTGAACCATTAGATTTTTTTGGTATGCATACTCCACTAATTAAGCTCTTTCAAATGACACCAAGGTCAATGACCTTGTGACCTTGACTGTGGCCTATATGCTAAAAATAGCTTTTTTCTGCAAACTTTAACCTTCGCCATAACTTTTGAACTATGAAAGATAGAGACTTCATATTTGGTATGCAAACTCCACTAAAGGTTAATGACACCAAGGTCAATGACCTTGTGACCTTGATTGTGACCTTAATGCTAAAAATAGCTTTTTCCGAACTTTGTTGCCGCCGGGCGCATAGTGTTTCACAAACACATCTTGTTAAATTAGTAAAAATGTTCATTTGAACTTTCACAGTGCAAACATTGTTACTTGGGATATATGAAGAAACTGTTTAATATGCTACATGTAAATAATTCCCTGATATTTCAATAGAATTTCACTAACTAGAGTAATGATGAATACATTGTACTTTTTTTACTTTCATTCTTATCATCATAAAAATGAATTTTAAAACTCAAACTTTACACTTCATCATATAAAAGTAAGGAATTGCTTACATGCAGGCAATTTGCATCATAGCTAGGTAACCAGTGAGGGAACTTCTTGCCATGGTAGTATTGATGGTTCTGTCCTCAGGATGTAACCAAGTCCAGTAGAACCCTGTAGCTATGCTCTCACTGTAGATGAATGATGGCTGAGTACATGTAAACCACTATGCTGGAGAAGGTGCTGTAGTGAGAGAGCATGATTGCAGTAGCGGAGCGTAAGGAATTTCTGCAAATAGGAGAGCACAACTTTATGTAATTTTTCATAACAAAAATTTGACATTAAAACAGCGTGTGGAATAGGGATGTGATAAGCGCATTATTCTTTCCTTTTCTGCCAAGACTTTGAGAGAAAAAACTATCGCCCTGTAACAGGAAGGGAGAAAAACACAGCTGACCATACCTTAATTGGAACCTTGGCCCCCTGAATCGATCTCTAATCAGGTGCTCTACCAACAGTTATCTAGCTGAAGGATCCAATCTGTTCGACTGCCCAAAACCCATAAAGATGACAATGCCAGACCAAATCTAGGATGAAGAGTTAATTAATTTCATTAGACAGGACTATAACACAAGAATGAAATGATCAGGAAAGTTCCTTAATCTTATTAATAAACCCATTGAACATCTCTCAGATGATCGTGGAAGCAAGTGTTCAGATTCCACCCCCACCCATCCACCCCATTTTACCATCATCAAATTCCAAACATTTAGATCTTGTTCATGAATTTAAAAAAATCCCCCTGCATTTCTACCAGAACATGTTCAAAGCACTAGGAAATTATGTATTGCACATGGGTTATATATCCACTCAGTGCTAGTGCAAAATGTCATTGCAGTTTGCCACTTTTAAGATAACCTGGTAACCCTTTGTGTGTTTGACCAAAGTTTGATTTTAAACAAAAAAGCTCTCCTGGTTGATGTTTTCTTGGTCTGTACATATTCATACTTTGTTGTTGATTTATTCATTATAAAATTTAGAGTGGAACACTAGGAATATGCCTTGATGACTCAGCAATCCTGACAAATTTAACTTTAATATCTCAAGCACAAAGTTTTCTTGACGCTAAAAGTTTAACCTTGTTTTGGGTAATGAAGTTAACAAATTGTATTGCAAGCAAAAGCATAATTAATTTAATAAAACATTCTTCCAATGTTCAAAACAATGAGGGATACAGCTGCAATATTACTACATCGACCAAATTGTTGTTATCTCATAATTCATTCATTTTATACAGTTTATATTCTCTTCTTTAATTTGCATTTTATGGAGGAAGGGTAAAAAATGAATATTTGTTTTAATTTTAATAGGTTCTGTTTAGAATTGAATAAGTTTGAATTTAAAATATATGTTTTGTTCAAATTAAATTCATATTATTTATAAGTCATCAGTTAAAACTTTTGAGAATCTTGCCCCAGGATCATAAAACAGACTTAGACTAAAGTCAAATTTTTGATCACCTGTAAAATTTTTAATAATTATTGAATGAATCTCTAACTTTGCAGATATTAACAACACTTTTGTAAAGCAATATTGACGAATATTTTAATTTTTGTCTGCTTGACTCAATCAAATTTTTAGTATGACAGGAATATTTTGACTTAAGCTTAAGATATTTCTTGGGGATCCAGGGGCCTGTGGCTGTACACACAGAAGTATTGACACCAAGCTATACATTATGATATATGTTGTAGATTTGCCATGGTGATCTATGAAACAACAGAAGAAGTGAAGAAGTTCTTGGCTACACTGAAGATCTTTGATAAAACCTGCGTCAGTTACCCGGAGATGATTAGAAAACGAAAAGGTAAAGCTCTTAAGAACAAATGACCAGTGAGTTACTCTGAAATTTGTTGTTAGTAAAATAATATATTAAGATCATTAAAGTTCCAAAACTTGAGATGACTTCCATTTACTGGAAATTGAATTTCATTGAGAATGTGCTTAATAATTCAGTCTTTATGTTCACTTTTGGACTAGTTATTTATTGTACATAGAATTTTAGTCTTATCAACCTGTTTGATAATAGTCATGTCACTGGATAAGGTGGTTTTATTTGAATGGTAGCAGCTTTTGTGCCTGTTTATCTTATGCAGTTGATTTATCTGTGAATACTGCTGCAGTTTTTGTCCTGGTTTTGTAATTTTTCTTCAGTAGACCTTCAATATAAAAATAAGTCATTTATTTTAAAATAATAAAATCATCTTTAATTTTCTTGTGTGTTACAGGATTGTCCAAGCTACTTCAAGAACACCCTGAGGCAAAGGAGGCTCTACTGGATGGGGACACACAATTACAGCTGCATAAACGTCAGGCCAACGCCAGGAAGAAGCTGATGGAGTTACAGGAACAGATCATGAAGAAGAACAAAGAGAAAATCAAGAAAACAAAAAATAAAAAGCTGCAGAAGCAACGAGAGAAGCAGAAAGAGGCGGAACTAAGGAAACTAATGATGAGGGCAAAGAAAATCATGGAGGAGGAAAATATAGACCAAAATTTTGCAGACATGACTGTATTTGTGGAGAACCAGGGCAAAGGCAGATCAATGGAGGAACATGAGAAGTTGAGGAGTCCTCTGAAGAATTCAGAGCAGAGATTAACAGGCATTCCTACTAGAGTTGTTCCAATTGAGGGTAATATTAGAGATGCAGAATACAACAGACTGAGGAGAGTGGTCCTCGAGGAGTTGAAGGAGGATATAAGCAATGGTAGATTCAGGGATCAGAAACACCTGGAAGATACTATAAACAGAAGAATTGAGTCTAAAAGAGCTGCAGAGGCAAGACCAAGGATGTGGGGAAGTGGAGTAGCTGTGTCACAAACACAGGCATCACAGCCTGGGGTCCCTGCTGGAGAGTACGCCATGAATCAGTTTAAAGAGGACTTCAGAAAAACCAGAGTTCCAGTGCAAGGGGTTCCACCTCCAGATTCTAGGATACCAGATAGTATTGAGATAATGATACCTGTACCAGAAGGCTCTCTCCCAATGCATAGAATGCCAGGCCCAGCACAACTGATGCCAGTTGTTAGTCAAAGTGGACCTGGCCCAGTCCAGATGTTGACTAGACCTATGGGTCCAGGAATACCTGTGATCTCAAGCCAGATGCCTATGGGTAATATTCCTGGTGGCCCAACTATGACATCTGTCCAGCAACTGAATCCACTTACACAGGCACAACAAGTAGGGGTTCAAAACCTACAAAGTCGGATGCCTTTTATACCAGTTAGTGGCTATCACCAGCCAAATGTAGCAATGCCCGTGTCATCAACAATAACACAGCAGGTTCCAATTCTGCCAGGAGCCTTAGGCATGGGTCCAACAGTACCGGGGTCTGTTCCAGTAAGAGTTCCAATGCAACCACAAGGACTAACAGGCCAACTGCAGAGACCACCAACTGGAATACCGGTCTCTATTGCCACATCAGGGATGCCAGTTGTTCAGACAAGACCAGGACTTATTGGATACCCTGGTACAGTCCCACGTGGTCCGGTACCACCTGTTACATTTCCTCAGGGTGCTCCTCCTGGACATGTACCACTCAGTAATCCCCCTGGAACAGTACCTAGAGCACCAGTTCCCAGGGCACCAGTCCCAGCCGTAGCTCCTATAACTCCTGCAGTCATACAGTCTCAACCAATTATATACAAACCACCAACATCAGAGACTCCTACCAATGATCCTAGTAATATGAGGAAGAAGCCAGAGGACAACACACAAAATAAAAGCAGTATGCAGCATGGAAAGCCAACAAATGAGGATAAGAGGTCAGAGTCCAAGTCTAAAGCGAGGGACAATGCACCTTCTATTAAGATAAATGTTGGAAGTCAGTTCTCCAGGAAGTCAATGGAGGTATTGAATAAACGAAAGAGTGAAGACATAGATGGTGTACCAATGGATGAGAGAGTGCCAGCTAAAAAGTCTAGAACAGAGGAAAAGGGTCCCAAATCGATTCTGAGAAAAGAAGATACCCAGAGCAAGATTGACATGTTTGAAGCTGCTGACAAAAATCCAAAAAAGAGCACTCCTGCAGACTCCCAGTACAAGAGGCAGGGAAATCTCATCAGTGTTCCACTTCAGAAAGGAAATGTGCAGCAGAAGACACAAGGAAAATCTACACAGCAGGAGATTGGCACCAAAATCCAGGTGCTACACAACAGGATAGCCCAAAAACTCCCAGCACCGAAGAAGTCATCAGAACCTCAACAAGAGGACCCTGGTGAGGGGAATGTTTCTCCTCAGACCCTGTCTTACTTAAAGACTCATCAAGTGAGGCAGCAGAGGACCTCCTTCTCCTCCAGTGAATCAGAAGATGAGTCGTCTGATTTCATACAAAGACTGAAAGGCCCTGAGGGGCTGATGTCGTTGATGGATGTGGACGTGTCCGGGGCGAAGTCCGACAGCAGTGGCATCCAGGAGACACTGAGGAAGTGGGACTACCTGGCAGAGAAGCAGAAGATACAGAGAGAGAAGGAAAAACTGGCTAGGAAAGGTAAGGTCTTGTTAATTTACTTTAGGTGGCTGTATTTGAAAAGTGTGCTTGAAATGATCTGTTTTATATAGCCTTTATAATTAATTATGGTTTTTTTCTTTTTTTTTCTAGAGGCTAAACTGAAGAAAATGATGGAAAAAGCACCTGTTCTTGTATGTATTATTTTATTGTTTGATCTTTTTGATCTTTTAACTTGATTTACAAGCATTGATATAGAAAAGTTAAACCACTAATTTTTAATACCACTACTCTTCATTGTTTTTCTAACATTTCTTGGACAGATGCAAGAGTTTGAAGAGAATGAGAAGAAAAGGTAAGATTCAACCACTGAGATAGGAAACAAATTACTTGACAATTCTGTATTGTAATTTTCATCATAAACAAAGTACCCATATGTATCATCTTCCCTTTGTTTTTGTTTATTCAGACAGGATAAGAAAAAAGCCAATGAGAATGACCCTCTGATAAAACTCTTACAGTCTGCTCTTGAAGCAGCCCAGCAAAAGGCAAACATGAAGTAAGTACAAGGACATTCTATTATTTTTAATCAGCAGTCTTAGTCTAACATATATCAAACTTGATATACTGAATCCTCCTTAAAATAAACCCTTGATAATTTTGAGGTAAAAAGTTCATAGGTCAAACTTCTCAAAAGTAGATATTGACTGCTAAATACTTGCAAGACCTTTTTCTTGTTTAAACCAAACTTGTTACACTGCTTTTACTCAAAGAAGAAAATTATCCCTTTATTTTAACAAGGTGTGATATACATGTAGATCCCCTGAAATGTAGAAAAGGGGCATTCTAAAATTAAAATTGATTCTTTTTAATATTACTGTAAAACTCTATTATAACAAAGTCACTGGGACCTAGGAATTCATTGAATTTATATAGCTTGGGATCCGAGATTAGATAACTTAATTCGCTATATTTTTGAATTCACAATACCTGTAAATTCGCAATATCCTTGTTCGTACTAAACAAATTTACTGTACCACTCTAGGTTCCTCTGTGTTTCTAAATCATGTTGAATGTGTTTTAGGCGGTGTCCCTCTTATGTTACTAATCTTGTTAACTTTATTTAAGGTGCTCCCCTTTGTATGTTACTAAATCTTTATGTTACTAAATCTCATTAACTATTTTTAGGCGGTCCCCCTCGCCCTCCACTGACCATGAGGAGGAGGACATGTCTGTATCTGAGGAGGATGAGGACTCAATTGCAGGAGGAGAGTTCATCATCGACTACGGTCACAAGTCTCTGTCAGGACAGAAAGGTAGTCTTAAAAATCATTAAATTTTTTGTTGAGCTGTGATGATAATTGTCAATGTTCAGCAGTCTGTTTTTGCCAAACTTGAAGGTAAACACTGGTAAATAATAGGAAGTTAGGTGTAGGATATATAACTAGTGGCCATTCATTGCTGGTGAACTGGTTTATTTATCAGAGGTTTGGGTCATTGTAGATAAACCACAGAGAATGACAAGAAAACAGAGGAGGGCTGCCAGAATGGAGCAGAAAAAAGCTGAGAGGGAATACAGGGAAAAGAAAGAGGTACAGTGTTACATTAAAACTGAGTGATACAGCAAAATAGCATCAGCTTCATATGAAATTTGTTCCAAGTATGATGAATAATGATCGTTATTATGTATTTTTGTTACAGGGTGATAAACAACAAAAGTCATCAAGGTAAGCAGGAAACTGTTAGGTTGAAGACAGGATATTTTTTAAATAATTCTCTTTCATTTCTGATATTTGGTTTCATTCTTTCATAGCTTTCTGCAACTACTGTACATGAACTAATGATCTTTACAATTTACAGTGAGAAAGATGAACTTACAGAAATGTTGAAATCCTCACTACAAGCTGTACAAGAGCATCTTAGGTAAGTGATCTGAATAATAATTTTGTAAAAATTCCACTTCATTCATCAAGTTCAAAATGAAAGCTTAGAAAAACTATGATTATTACTAACTATTACAGTGAAATGAGGAACCAAAAGCCCCAGTCTCAACAGGATCAGGCATCACAGAATCCATTCCTGCAGGATCTGATGTCACGAGTTCAGTCGCACATCCAGGGTCAAAAAGATGGAGCCAGCAGTTCCTCAATGTCTGCTCCAGCCAGCTCACAGCCTACAATTACCCCACACAGCATTCCAAACAAACCCTTCCTGCAGACCACAACTGCCACCAGCAGTATGGGAACCAGTTCAGGGGTGCCGGGAACCAGCTGGGCCTCACAGATGCAGCCACATCAAGCGAGATCAGCCTCCATTTCTCCTTATGTACCAATGTCCAGTAACGCCTCTAACTTACCTTCTAATACCTTTGAATATGGCCACGGCAGCAAAGGCACACAGCCAGCTAGCTGGAGTAGTTATGGAAGCAATTTGAGTGGGGAGGTTTCGTCTGCCATTCATGGACAGACGGCATCGCAGCCCGTTCAGGAAGTGTTTGATTATGGACACAAATCAAAGGCTGATTCTGCAAATAGCAAACCTCCACTCCAAAAAGGTAAAGGTCTAGGACAAAAAAATATATTAATGAAATTATTTCTACTTAATGTCATTTGGAAAAAATATTTTTCAATTTACAACAAAATATTTTTCAGGTAATGCTACAGCGACTTCTTCACAACCCAATCCACAGACAGACATCCACAGTTTAACGATAGAGAGCATCAGTGAAATTCTTAAGGTTGCCAAGAACCTGCAAGCCTCTCAAGCAAAAATGAAAGACACTACGGAAAAACAGAGGGAGATGTCAGAGCAAGACAAGAAAGGTAATCAAGAAAACTTGAAGAGGAATGGTGTTGGTGAGTTCCTGAAGAACTTTCCAACAAATGTTGGTGACAATTCTGCTCAAGGAAATAAAAACCCCATGGACAAGAATGTGTCTGGTCAGTCATCCAGTGGTCCAACTGGAACCAGGGCACAATTTCATGGTTCTCAAGGAAGAAATATGAATAATCAGAGAAATCAAAACTTGGAACAGCAAGGAAACAACAATAACTTGCAGAAAAATATGTCATCAGAGCAGAACATACAGAAGCCAGATTCTCCACCTGTGGATACTTTTCTGGGAATGGTAGAGTCCAGATATGAAAGGCAGAAACAAAGAGAAGAAGAGGATAGGAGAAAAAGAATGGAGAAAACTTCATCTGAAAACAGGGGCCCTCTAGGTGGGCAGCAAGGTGGAGGAGGTAATGCCCAGTCTCTCCAAGGGAGTGGAATGGGGTCATCTCTTCCCAGAGGGCCCTCATCCTCTTCTTTTAGAACAGGGCAGCAGCATCATAACAAATCATCATTTGGACCAGGTCATTCAAATACATCCATGAATAATAATAGACCAGGGCACTCAAGACAGCATTCCCCCATGCAGAACAGACCGGGTCAGAACATGCAAAATAGACCAGGGCAAAACATGCAGAACAGACCAGGCCAGAACATGCAGAATAGACCAGGACAGAACATGCAAAACAGACCAGGCCAAAACATGCAAAATAGACTTGGCCAAGGACAAAGTGGACAAAATAGACCAAGTGATAATACAGTAAACAGGCCTGGACAAAATAGACCAGGACAGAGTACCCAAAATAGACCTGGACAAAATGCACAAAATAGACCTGGACAAAGTACGCAAAATAGACCAGGTCAAATGAAACCACAGAACCAAGGGTACATGAGTATGTTGTCACAGTCGAAAGTCCAGAAGAAGAGTGATGCTGAATCCATTACAGAGCTAATGTCAGCCAATGAACTGCAATCTTGGGAGAACTTACAGCGACAGCTGAGACAGTCGTACCTGGAGGATCAAATATCAGGACCCACAATGTCTGCCTATGACCAGCGCCTGCAGCAGGGAAACCAGCAGCCATCGTCACAGCAGCAGACTGGTTCCCTGGACTGGTTCCGACAATCCAAACAGCTTCAAATGCAAGACAAGTTAAAGAGACAGATGGCACCCAAAGGAATCCTGAAAGGAGGTAGGTTTGTTTCTTTAACTGAAGATTTTTTGTAAGATTTTTGCAAGAGAGTGAATGAAAAAAGTTTGTATTAAGGAAATATCTATGAAGCAAAATGAAATGTAACGTTAATTTGATCATTTTGTATGGTTTTAATTGGATATTCTTTTTATTTTAGTACCCAGTACAGCAAGTAAAATTTGGGCAGAGGAAGACATGGATTTTCACACAACTCCTCAACAGACAGCGAAATGGGGTCAAGGTGTGGCCTCATTTGACTATTCTGGAAGGTCAAACAAGGGACAGAACTCCAATCTAGTGCATTATGCAAACTCAGACTCAGACTGACTATGATATGAAAAAAATAATTCAGTGTATAAAAAATATGAGCATTTAGGGAAGGTTGAACATTTAATCCATTTACCTGTATTTTTCACAGATGGGTGTTTGAGAAAAAAAATCATGAATTCAATTGGATGTGTGTGCATGCATGTGGGTATAAGTGTGTTGTGTGTTTTTAGGAAATATTTCTTATTTCCAAATTTGAATATGATTTGGTATGGGAGAAACTTTGTAAAATTCTTCATTTTTTTCAATAATATTGTTGAATCTTTGTTTTAATTGCAATAATTTTTATGTCTAAATTGGTAATTGTTGAATCTTATTTAAATTTTTAAATGAAATTGTCTATACTTCAATTGTTGCAGATATACATATGTTGTTTTTTTTTCTTTAATTACCATTAATTCTAAAACTGGATAAAATTTCATGTTGTTCATATTTTTTTTTACCATAACTTGTGGATTGATTGACTACTCCATGAACTCTGACAGAAAAGGGATAAAGTGCTACATAAGAAATGTTCATTACAAAAAAATTAAACCAGCACAATAAGCTAACTTTATGTTAAACATAGTTTTTCCAAAAAATAAAAAAAATTGTGATAAATGCATGAATTTATTATTTATTTCAAATTCCATTTTCACCCCACTGTCAAAAGTGGCAACCCAAATCAGTACTAGTTTTATTTTGAAAAGAATATGCTCCCATATGTACATATGCATTATTTTTTATTACATTGTACCGATTATACAGATACTGCAAAAACATATTTTTGTCCTCCAGGTTCCATTCATTGTCTGTCTAAGGATGTCTTAATGCATGCATGTAGTTCATTTACATGTAAATATTCTTTTGAATACTGGCACCTGTATGCAGCAATACTATGACTGCTTGTTACTGGTGACTTCAGAAAACTGTGAAGTAGACTTTAAGTTTGCTCCAACAGTTTGGAATTGTGTGTTTCTTGGACGTTATTTTCACAATCCTTTAAGGGAAAAAACATACAAAATGAAAAAAAAGATTTGGTTCATTTAATTCTTCTTTGTATGCACACCATGTTTAACTTGGAGGCATTAAGTTTACTTGGGGAGCTGAGGTGTGGCTCTTTTTTGTTTTGTTTTATTAAATCACGTACATTATATTGAGTAAGTGTATAGTTACTGTGGTGAAAATAAAAGTAAAAAAATATGGCAGCGGTGGGATTCGAACCCACGCCTCAATGAGACTGGTGCCTAAAACCAGCGCCTTAGACCACTCGGCCACGCTACCTTGATTAGCAGAGGCAATAAAGATGTAATATTACAAAACAATAAAGTGGAATGTTGATATTATGATTGATACGATGTTATTTTAAAATTTAACGTTAACATTGGCTTTCCGGGGTGTCTGAAACATTCATGGGCTACATTCATATCTTTTCCACTGCTTAAACATGTGTAAAAAAAAGTTCTGGTGTACTTTCTAGGGAAATGACCGAGGTGTTTCGAATAAAACCAAGGTCATGCGATGTTTATGGGAACATAAATAGGAAGCTACGCACGCACGGTAAGCATATTGTTGTGCGTCTTGAGATAGATAACAAATAAATGCGTTGGCATGCGATATAGACCCATAATTTCTAATCCTTAATGTAAAATCTACCATTATAATGCAGTATTTGTTCAAAAAAATTATCTAAATAATTGGTCTATTACTCATCAGACACAAAACTTGAACCAGTAAACTGGAGTGCATTCGGTCCATGCTGTAAAGTGCTACAAATATTGTACACTTACGGAAATAATTATTTATTAACTTTGTCGAAACATATGAAATGTCATCTTTTACTCATTTTTAATTTGGTGATTTAGATAATTGACATCCTTGGGTCGAGAACTTTCTCAAGAAGAACATTCAACATGAACAAGGAACGTATTTTAAATGGAATTCCAAATGACAAGAATTTTTATGGATACAATTCTACGAATATTATTTGATTTTTGAGTTGTAAACAAAAACTTAAAACTGGACATTCAGGTGAAAACGAGAAGTCCACCAGTGACCATTGACAATGTCTCAGTCAATTTCATCCACTGAAAGTGATGGGGACATCATATTGTATCCGTTAACCTACTTCAGTGACGATGAAGAGGAACAAGACCAAGATGAGAGTTCTAATGATGCCTCCGATGAGAGAGAGTCTGAAAATGAAGTGGAGGAAAACAAACCGAAAGCGCATATGACGCTTCGACAGAGGCGACTCTCTAAATCGTACTCCCCTCTGGCCAATTTAAAACTGAAAGTAAAAGCTGGCAATACCCGTGCTCATAATCACTGGATTTCAGCAATCAGAAAAGCAAAGGATTTGTCCGACCCCTGGGCCACTTTTCACATTGAAGACATAGTTACAGAGACTTGTATAAGACATAGGTATAACCCACATAGAAAAACATGGACTAAAGATGAAGTTCAAATCAAGATGATGCAAAAGGTACAATCATATCCTGAATTCTTTATTCAACTCAATTGTTGAATTATAAAATTTGAAGTTTCAGAATATTGTCACAATATTTTTAACAGGTTGGGACCAATTGCCCAAATGGGATATAATAGTCCATTTGGGATATAACCCAAATGGGCTATAAATTAATTTACAGTGCAAAAATTGAAATTTTTTATTTTGGCTATAAATATCATAAATCTGCATCAAAACACTTAAAAAGGAATAACTCTTGGTAAGCAAGTTTTTCTGCAATCCTACTGTTTGTAAGATTAATACCCAAGAAGTTAAGGAACTTCCAAGAGATCAATCTCCTAAACAACTGGCATACATGAAAACTTGTCAACCAAAAGTTATTCCTTTTTAAGTGTCCTGATGCGGATTTATGATATTTATAGCCAAAATAAAAAATTTCAATTTTTGCACTGTAAATTTATAGCCCATTCGGACTATTATATCCCATTTGGGAGATTGGTCCCAACCTGTTTAAGCTGTGTTTGTAGTTTTAGTATCAGAATTTATTATGTTATTTTTCTTTTCAGCCCTTCAATCGTGGTGCAATGAGACAATGTTATAGGCTGTAAGTATGCATGATTATCTATATAGATACATTTTTATATATTTATTGATCCTGTTTTTCATTACTTTAAAAAAAATCAATTGCATTGTTTATGAAGATTGAGTCATATATTCGCAACAGATTGTGTAAAGAAAAAAAAAGATGTATAAATGAAGTAAGTTTCATGAAGTTATGTTTACAAACATAGAAAGAGCTGGTTTAGGTTCTGTTTGTGTATGTGTTTTCAGACATCCATATGACATGAATAAATGTATCCAGTCCATGTAATTTAATCTTTTGGCAGATGTGCATGTAAAAACTATATTTATAGACAAAGTTTTTTTGCTGCAGCCAAATGTATGATATGTTAACTGTTGCTGCTGTGAATATTATAGTATGTCGCTTGATGAAGCTCTAGTACATAATGTAATCCAGTGAACATGGTGAATTTAATTTGTGTTTTAATTGGGGAGTTTTTTTTCTTTATCTGTAGGAATTTTAAATTTACTGTAAGGCCTTTTAACTAGGAAATTATCTGCATTAACTTGAAGTCATATTTGAAACAAGAGGCCCATGGACCACAACACTCACCTAAGTAACTGACCCTTTTTGTCCATCAGCATTCTTTTTCCTATATGACCACCCTTTGTAGTCCCATCCTATTCCCAGGGGGTCATAATTTGAGCACACTTAAATCTATATTATTTGAGGATGTTTCTTTACTACAAATATCACTAATAATGACTTTAATCTGTTCCTGGTAAAAAAAAAAAAATGAAATTTTTTTTTTCCCTATGTATTCCTATGCAAAATTTGATTGCCAATTGTGGCCACATCGTACCTGGAGGGTCATGATTTAAAGGAACTTGTATTTACTCTACCAGGCTGCTTCCACATATATAAGACAGGTCATGGCTTTGCTGTTCTTGAGAAGAATTTTTTCCAGATGCAATTTATGTAAAAATTTGATCTTTATTGTGACCCCACTCTTCCCCTGGAAATCACAATCTGAATAAACCTTAACATTCACAACCTGGGGATGCTTCTACATAAACCTGATAAATATGACTGATCGCTGCTTTGCTGATCTTGAGAATTTTTAAAAAAAAGATTCCCCTTATGTATTTCTATGGAAAACTTTAATTTCATTGTCCTATCCTTATTGATTTCAAAGAATCTTAACCTACAAAAAAAATATGTTTGTTTCCACTTTCCTGAAAAAATATAGGTTTCATGATTTCAAACGTTATAGAAATAGCATTAATGACAAAAGAAATGGTGTTTTCAAGCATTTCTGTAAAATTAAACTTATAGCTGAAATGACCAATCTGAAAACCTTGCAAAGTGGATTTTACTTGCACTTCATGGGACAAGAGCATTAAAAAAATTTTTAGGGTCGGCGCTATAAATTAGGGTCGGTCAGGAAAGCGGAAACAAACATATTTTTTTCTATGCCCTACTTAAGGGTGGCTTCTTAAAATTATGATTAATCTATCATGGAGTTTACATTCTTGAAAAGAAGAATTTTCCTTTTAATGACCCCATCATTTTTTTTTAACTTTAATTTTATTAATTTTTCCCCCTAAAAAAGGATACCCTGCTTAGTTTGGTTAAAATTGACCCAGCTAGTACTAGTTCTGTAGAAAAAGATGAAATTGTTAAACTTTTAGTATAAATTGTTTATTTGCATGTAGAGATGCTATACATCTATGCACAATAGCTCAAAACTTTTGGTTAGTGCCCAGTGAAAATGTGGGGGGTGGGGTGGATTTGAATGCTTAGTTAGCAAAATGTACTTATATTTTTTATCATGTTAAAATAGGGGATATTTATTAAAAAAAAAAATCAAAGCAGATTATTTTCCAAAAAGTTTTTTGTTCAAGCTGGTATGAACTATTTTGAAAACACTGCTGGTAGCAGCTGTAAAGGTTGATAGTGAATGTAAGGGTATCATTTTTTTTTAAGTGGATACTCTTACAAACAACCTATAGATGCTTTGAAGTATACAACTGTTATTCATGCAGCATGTTCGTGATGGACATCTGTGTTATACATCGTTTTGCAAGTGATACGAATGCTTGCTTAGCAGTATATGTTGGTTGCCTATTTTTAGCAAATGTTGACAGCCTTTTTAAAATCTGTTATGACGGCCCATGTTTCTATTGACAAAGTGGTTACAAAGTGGATTCAGTGCAAACCGTGCATAATTTTGATACCACAACAAACTTCCCAGTTTTCTGAGAAAAAGGAACTTGTTATAATTGTTGTAGAGGGATTGGAGACAGCCACAAAATTGATGAGTGTCCCTTAACATGCTAAAAAATAATTTGTTATGGGAGAACAAAACATTTTTGAATCCATTCCAAGAAATATTAAACCACCTACTTGAATATTAAACAGTTTTCTTCAGTGTAAACAAGTATTAATAATGCCATATCGATAAGGTGTATTTTAGAAAGAATGGTACAGTGATTTATTGAATATATTAGAGAAGTAAAGGGAGGGGAATGATTGAATAAACCAAAAAAAATACTATAATCCAGGGTTCCTGTATCACTCTTAAGTCAGGTGCTCTAATTACTGAGCTACCCTAAATACATAGGCAAAGTAACCCCAATATTTTTTTAAGGAAACAGCTAGAGCTTCCCTGATTAACAGACATACATGAGGCTGTTAATCATGCTTAGTTAATTTAATGTCACCATATGTTTTTGATCTATCAGATACTGCATGGAATAAGTTGAAACATTGATCATATCAATCATAATAAATAATTTATATGGGCCTTACTGGGCCTACCTAATACAAATTACAATGAATCTATCATTAGGTTGAATGCTGACTGGCATTTTCATACAAAATGTTTTATTTACATGCTGAATTGTCATCAATTTTTCTGTTTGCCCTGAATCATGACAATGAGCAGATGGCAGGTGCAACTGGTGGATCAGGGATGCTTACTCCTCCATGGCATCTAATTCCACATTGATATTTTTACAGGTCCATGTATGCTATACTCCAAATTTTAATATATTATTTCAGTGAACTTTTGAACTTGTTTACTGTTCAGTATCTCCATAATTTATCAAAACATATGTTATTTACCTATTGATTTTAAAAATTGAAAGAAAATGCTGAGGTATGGGTATTGTGACCAATCTTATGAATGTAGATCCTATCCCTTATCTTGATTTGTTGTGCAAGCATTAAACACTGCATGCTTGAAGAATGATGACAGTAAGAGTGCTAAAGATATATGAGTGTGCACAACTGCACGTGCCACTTAGCACTTTGAATTGACAAAGACAGAGTGCTTCCTAGTAATTCTGGTGGAATATCAATATACACACTGAACTTGCTAAAGGCTCAAACAATTTGTTCAAAACAATATCGGTAAATTCGTTCATTTATTCTTACTAAGTCATTTGAAAACTAAAACCGCTAGTTGAACTCTAGTGCAATGTGTTTTTCTCAGACAAACACATTGTTTTTGATGTTTTTTTTTCTCTGAACATAACGTGAAATTCAATATATCATGGCCAATTTTTGCCTGATTAATTTTTAAGACCTAGAAGAGGTCTTTGACCAGGGAGATCTAATAAACAGACCCGTACGTTATCTTATGTTATTATCCCAGAACGGGCACCTTGACTCGTAAGTAGTAAATACTGCAAAACCTCACGTAAGCTGCTTGGCTTGGATAATAGTAAACACTGGATTGTTGACATGAATATATTTATATAGGTAAAACAGGTGAGGTGACCTCTTAACGAAGGTAAAGAAGGTAGATCAGATCGATGTGTATATATACAACTGTGTATTTATCAACATGATCAAAGAAGGAAATATACAGGTTCTGGATTTCGTATATTTCTGCCATCATGAGATTTTTCTGATTGTCTCCTATTATGGACTCTATGGAGAAGCACACAGCTGGGTTAAATCAATAAGAACTTAATTAAATTCTGATTATTAACACATTACACAAAGCTGAGAGTAACAGATGAAGGAGTAATTAAGACCTTGAATTTTTCTCCTTTCATTAAAGTGCCCATAATGTACACATATCAGGTATCCAGAGAAAAATATTTATACACATGCAGAACCATCAAATCCAAGACTTGTAAAATCTCAGATTTAATAAAATTAATAAGTAGATCTATTGATGTTTTCACTAGTAAACTTTTTTTTAGAAAGAATGTCAATATTGGTTTGAAGTGAAAACCACAGTGATCATAATAATGAGTTCAACTTTAAGTGGGAGACCCGTATTTTGTTTAGTTTATCGTGAAAACAAAATCATTAGCTATTTGAGACGACCAGTATATATGCACAGATACTGCTATCAAATTCAAAGAATTGATAACCATGATAACTATGAAGTCTTTTTCCAAAAGAATCAATTTTCAAATCATGGTCACATATAGATATTTTGATAGATGGAGTCCAAAAATAGAATTAATTTGACTTTGTAATGAAGATGAAGCACGAAAAAGCACATTCAAATTAAAATCATTTTCCAGCATCTCCCTGCAGGGTCTTTTTCATGAATGTTTTTCATATGATCATGATGTAAACCTTATTTTTAACAGAAATATGTTTTTTTTTAAGAATTTCCCTGGTTTTATGGACAACCCTGTTATGCACATTGTTATAAACACGATGTTCATTTGACTTATATTATCCTAATGAAAAAATAGGATATGTGGCACTTTTTTATACCCCCGCAAATGAAGTTTTTATACCCCCGCAAACGAAGTTTAGAGGGGTATATTGGAATCAGCAATTCTTAAATCATGAAAATTTGTACACATATATGAATATTGGGTAATTTTTTGATTTTTAGATGTTTTTTCTTTTTTATTTTATGGTTTTGTTTGGCTCATAACTAGAAAACTATACTGACAATCATCAAATTAATTTGACTAGAAGGTGTGTAATGACCTTTAATTTAAGTGAAATTTTAAAAAGAAACCTGTCTTTTCCTATTGAATTACACAATCCCAAAAATGTAAACACATTATATACTTTACAGTAATCCATATCAAATGTTATTTTATAAGAGATAATCTACCTCTCCCAGCACCGGTCAAAGAGAATTTTGATAACTGAAAATTGCATCCCTTGGCATTTATCAGTGGACATGCATCCAGTCAAAGATTAATTAATAATTTCAATGTAGGAAAGCTAGCTGTCTGTCATTTTTTTCTGATTAATGGGAATGAATGTAGTTTAAATCGCATATGTCATTTGATACTTTCTAAAATCAATTTGTTATAGATTAAGTTTTTAATACTAATTAGTTAAATTGATATATTTTTAAAAAAAAAATTAAAATAAAGTAACAAATGTCAGAGCATCATGTCCCACATGAAAGATATATGCATATGGACTATAATGCAACCATTTGATGATTATTTGTTATAATTAATGCTTACACCACAGGAGATGTTTAAACAAATATCAAAAGGAAAAAAATTATGGAAATCCTTTTAAATGTTGCCATGATTTCCTCACACTCTAAACTGTTTATATTAATTGAATGATCAATATTTGACTACATGCTGTGTTGGACACTTTATTATTTTTAAAATGAATTTGATATAAAGTTATAAAGATTAATTTGATTCTGTATAATATTTCTTTTTTCAACAATTATTTTTCAGAGTAGCATATATTGCAATTTCTTTTTTTAATGAAATTTTAAAAAAAAACTGTTACACTTCATAAATTGAAAAAAAGTAATGAGCATGCAATTATATTTTCACCACAATTATATTTTCACTCGATTTGTTTTAAGACAATAGTGAACACCTCTTAATAGATCCATAAAATATTTGTGAATTGGCACCTACTCTGAAAAAACACAGCGGGGGTATTTGTCCCTATTGGACAGTTCTAGTTTTAATATTATATATGACTTAATTTTTTTCCCTGTATGATTTCAGGAAGAAGATCTCGACATTCTCACGTAGTGGTGACTGGAGAAATGCACAGAATTACGTTGCAAAGCGATACATTGAAGACGTGGATCGGGAGGTTTATTTCCAAGATGTCCGTCTGCAGATGGACGCGAAAGTCTGGGGGGAGGAATATAACAGACACAACCCCCCAAAGAAGGTAATGAAAACATATGATAGGAAGAAATAAACATAACCCTACCCACAGTCCAAAACATTATAGAAGGTAAGCTTTAGGCGTAACCCCCAAAGAAGGTACATGTACAGAAAAAACAATATATGATAAGACGTTAAAGAAATAGACATAACCCTACCCACAGTCCAAAACATTATAGAAGGTAAGCTTTAGGCATAACCCCCAAACAAGGTACATGTACAGAAAACACAATATATGATAAGACGTTAAAGAAATAGACATAACCCAGCCCTCAGTCCAAAACATTATAGAAGGTGAAGAAAACAAGCATAACCCCCAAAGAAGGTAAATAAACCAAATGAAGGAAGGCAGAGAAAGTAGGCATACCCCCACGCTTAGCCCTAAACTTCAAAGATTGTAAAGAACACAGACATAACCTCCATCCCCTCAGAAGGTAAAGCTGGACTTTCTTACAAAGATTCCTTGTGGCATTATGCTCTCAGGTGAAGTAAAACAAGTCTTAGAATAGATTTATAATACCTGGTATTCTGAATATAATCATGATTATAGGTGGAGCTTTTATGGTTTAAATTTCAATTGCAAGAGAAGAACATGAGATATTATCTTCTTAAATTAAAGAGAAAATAATATTTTGTCACTACAGCAAAACTCGTTTAGTACGAACATATTGGATATTGTGAATTTACGGTTATAGCGAAGTCATCTTGGATCCCCAGCTAATAAAATTGCATGACTTTCTTATATGGTGATAATGCGAAGTAATTTCACAGGTCCCAGTGACTTCGTTATAACCGAGTTTTACTGTACTAATGAATTTTATTAATTTTGTTGTAGGTGGACATCTTTCAGATGTACATTCTGGAGTTTAAGGATAGACCGGGAGAGCCCCTGTATCATTTGGAACACTTCATTGAGGGAGAGTATATCAAGTATAACTCTAATTCGGGGTTTGTGGACGAAAATCTGCGCTACACTCCTCAGGTAAGCTCAATTTATTTCTAAGTATTATTTCAGAATTTGGGTTAATTTTGGAACAACTGGTGAATTTATTATCTGAATTATTAAGGATTATCCGTTCTACTACATTACTTCAGATTTGTCATGTATTATGTAATTTGATCCCAGATTTAAAAATCAATTTTGCATATATGTATAAAATTTCAATGAATGGATTAGTTTTAATTGAAATGAAAAAAATTATGTTTCTAATCAAATTAAATATCCACTATTTAATTCTCAATTTCCTATCTTATAGGCATTCAGCCATTTTACCTTTGAGCGTTCAGGCCACACCTTGATTGTGGTGGATATTCAGGGGGTGGGGGATCTATACACAGACCCCCAGATACACACAGTGGGGTCAGGTGAATATGGGGATGGAAATCTCGGAGCTAAGGGTATGGCTCTGTTCTTCCACACCCATACCTGTAATGACATCTGTCACAGCCTCAATCTCACCGAGTTCGACTTGTCCCCAAAAGAGATTACATCAAACAAAGATTTTCTGAGGGCACAGGTTTGTTTATTGAGAAACTTTCACATTGTAGATAATTTTGATAAACCCTGAAAATCTAAAAAAAAAAAAGGGGGGGGATGAATGATAACTTCTAATTTATAAAAAATGAATAATTTTCGTATTTAAACAAAATATATAATGAATGTAAACAGATCATTTTCTATGCATTTAAGAGGATGTTGGAAGGTTTCAGTAATTTCTAAAATTCAATATTTAATTGCAGAGGAAGTCGATGATGAAGACAAAAGTCCGAGGAGAAGTAGAACAGTGCCTCTCTCTGTCTCCGTCTACGGAGAAAATCGACATCACAAGATTCCTTGATCGCCAGCGGTCATCTTCCTCCGTGCTCAGCGACGGTCACACACCACCGACTGACCCGGAAAGCACCAGCAATGACGAGGAACCAATGTCTCTGGATAGCCCCAGCCCAAGGCCATTCGGGGTCAGATTTAGGTCACCCAGTGACACAGATAGCCAGTCATCATCCTTGACAAAAGAGGTCAGTTCTGAAAACAGTTTGATATTTATTCAACCATTCCAATGTCAGATATTGATACTGTCCTTAGATGTTGTTTTGTTGTTGTGATAAAAAAAAAAAGGGTTGGAAAATGAGAAGAAAAAATGGTGGATTTTTTTTTAAGACTGAAAAAAGTTGTTTGATTCTATGTTTTGACTTTGACCTTATTAGTTGCTGGTAGATGTGTACAAAATGTCTGATACTGTATATTATTTGTGTTTGTGAAGGGATCCAGAATAAAATGTGAAAGATTCACGGTTATAGAGGTAGACAGTAGCACACACAGTTTGCATCAGAGTTTGCAAAGTGTTTATAATTTATGTTGTGGTGTTTTTAGGCTGTGAAATCTAATTTGTTTGGAGTGTTTTAAGAGATTTTTGGTTTTATTTGAGGGAAAAGAAAGATGACAATCATAGCAAATGGATTGACATCATCTTTTCATTCTGTACAGAGTGTATCTTAATGAACCACTAAACTTAATTAACTGTTTGATTATGCTTATAACCTGCCTTGTATCCCAAAATTAATTTTAATCTGTGTGTGAAGTCCATGTAACAAATGTGTTGATGTGTCTTTGAAATACTAAACTCTTGTCTGATACCAATGTCTTCAATAAAATTAGGTTTAGTTATCTGAAATATGAGGTTTACTTTGTAGTTCTGAGATTAGGCACCAGTGCCAATATCTTGGCATGAAATTGTAAGACATGGCTGACATTTTCATTGGTTTAATCATTATTTACACACTGAATTGATGATGTTATTTTTTGTAATTTCCAAGACAAGGAGCACACACTGGTGTGTCTGGTTGGCAGGGGATGCTCACTCCTCCATGGCACCTGATCCCACCATTAAGTTTCTAGAGGTCTATGTTTCCTCTGCTCTTGATTTGTATTGTTTAATGGACTTTTGAGCTCCAGCATTGTTTGTTATCTCCTTATACATATATTTCATGTTCACAAGGATTTAGTTTTAGAAAATGAAAGATAAACATTTTTTCTTAATTATTAAGAACACTCAAGTATACTGATTATTTTTAAATTCTTTATGCCAGTGTCTGAAAAATCAGGTATTAACATGATTAAAGTATATGTTAATATTTCTGTAATGCATATTATATCTCAATTACCATAAATTAGTCTCCACAGTGCGAAAATCAGGTAATATGATCAAATTAATATAATCTATATTGTCATTTTCTTTCTACTCCAAGTCATGTAAAATCAATTAGGTATCCACATCCAAGATATCCATTATTTCTCTGATGCTTTTCTTACACACACTAGAAGATGACTAACCAATTCCACTTTGATCCACATCATACCAAACACACTAACCACTTACCAAATGTACACATAATGGTAACGTATCACATTTCCTTGTCAAGATTTCACTTTATTGTATATGTACTACTAGTTTATATTCTTTGAAAATTTTGCCCCCCCCCCCCCCATTTTTTCTGCATTAACATGTACATGTAAGGTTGCCAAATTCAGCAGTTAAGAAATGAAGTGATAACTTTAAATTTATCAGAGAGCAAATTTTTTTTATCAGTTTTTAAAATTGTAAATAAATGCGTGGACTCCCCCTCACGTACACGTTTTTAATCAAAATGAGAAAATGCAGTGGCCGTTCACTTCATAGGAAGAAGAAGAAATACAGTCAAACCTAATTTTTTTGAACTCAATAGAACCAAGGAAAAAACGTTGAGATATGTAATGATGTGAGATATTGAGGGTAAATTACATAGAGAAAAAGTTGTTGGAACCTCCAGAAGACAACATATCCATTATATTTGATATCTCAGTGTTCAAAATATCGAAATTCAGCTTAATAGATTAGAATAATTATATTATAATGCATTTCATGCATTTCAGTGAAAATGGGGCAAAAATTTCTTGATAGTTTTTCATAGAAACCTTGAGTGTACATGTAGATTTCTTTACACATGATATATATTGAAATACTGTCATTGAGATTTTTTAAATTCTTTGGATTTTCATTATCAACACTTTTATCCAATTTAAATGTTTTATGTGTATTTATAGCACATGTATCCAAGAGAGTGACAAGATTCTTTTGAAAATCTTTGATAAATATTTTTCACACTAACAAAGAAAACAGGAAGATATTTCTTTTATGAATCAACTTTGATAATAAACAAGACAAGCATTCTGAAATGGAAGATGAGTTGAATAATTAAAATATTAATACTTTGACTTTTCTTTAATAAAAACAAGACATATATAAAAAAGCATTCTGAAATGGTATATAGATGAGTTGAATAATTAAAATATTAATACATGTAATGATAAATACTTATTATTACATGTATATGAAAACTTTTCTTTAATAAAATTTTGCTAAAACAAAATGTGCAGTTATGAAATAAAGATCCACAATTGAGTCTGATGAAAGGGGTGCCGATAGGGGGATCCATTATTTATAGCATATATAAAAATTATATGAGCAGTTTATGACAAAATAATTGTGTAAAACAAGCTGCAACAGAAAACAAAATTATTATAACACATGTTTAAATTTTTGTAGTTTAATTACTTAATTGCAAGTATGCTTTACAACAGGGATAGCATGCAGTATATAGGCATTCTCTTTCATGGCGGTATTGCGAAAATGGCGATGAATCGGATGGCGATAATTCGAGAATTGACTGTATACCTTTTTAGAAAAGAATAGTTTATAGGTACTGGTTTAAACAATTGGGAGTAGATGACAATTACATGTATTAATCTAATTTTTATTGTAATTAAGCTATAGACCTGCTGACTCACTAAGATGTCCAAGTTAATTTAAAAAAATCATATGTTGGGATAAAAACCTTTACATTTTTTTCATGTTTCAATTTCAATAATATTGTATAAAGACTTTTTTTGGCTCTATTATAGGAGGAGAGGGCAGAGTTCAATAGGATGGCGAGTCAGCATGCCAGGCCCTCCTGTGTGGCCCTGGAGAAGGACTTCCGAAAACTGATGAACCACAAGATTGGAGACTCTATACTGGGCAAAGTGAGTCTCAGATGTGGAGGAATCATTTTCTAAATTTTATGACATATTTTAAATGAAAGAGAATGTAAAAATTATATATTGATAAACATCTGAACTTTATTGAGTTGCATTGCAAGTAGAATTTTCCAAATTTTTTTAATAGAAAAAATACGCTTCAATAAGAGATGTTGTACATTAAATTATAGGGTTTAGATAAATAGATTTGCTGATATATATTTCTTAGCTTCTTATTTCATTGTAAAAGTACACAGATCTTTTTCTACAGAAATTTTCAGCATCATACTAATTTGAAGTTGCCTAATAACAGGTTCACCATGAGATGGCTAAATACCACGAGGTGGGAAAGTTTGTCGTTGGTAAATCAGTTTATGACGAGAATGAAATTGACTGGGAGTCAGCCATCTTCCACGAGGAGCATGCAGCAGAGCTAGGAGAGCTGGAGGCCATGGTAACCATGGCTAAACTGTATCTGGGAATCGACAGGGACGTCCTGGTCAACTGCGTTGTGGAGGTAAGAGGGAGGGGAGGCCTTGTTTGCTTAACTACGCATTTGATGGCAATAAATTAAAGCTAGCTGTTTTACCAGTGAGAGAGCTAGATTGAAGTGGTAATAATAGAACATAAGATTGATTACATTTAAAGAATGTTGAGCTAATTATTTCCATTAAGATGACATGATTTTAAGCTGTAGACCACTTCTTTAGCATTCCTTTCTGGCTGGCTGTCTTCTGTAAATAATTCTTCAGTTCTGCAAGGTCCCAGTTTCTCTGACATTTAGAACACAATTAGACTACCAAAAGAATCAAAATCTGATATATCATTTTGATTTCAATGAATGGTATTGAAATGATACTCGAAAAAAGAAAAGTTTTAAGTCAGTGCAACATTTAGACTAAAATAAATTTAAGGCTTTAGAGTTACAGTCTCATCAGAGACTTCTTACCAGGGATACTTTAGTGCATGTGGCTATCAGATATTTAGAAAATAAAGTCATTATACACGTAGATTCTGAATCAGTGTTTTTTTGGAAGGAAAACAATTTTTTTTTAAGCAACATTTCTTTCTTCAGCCAACTGAAGAGCACACTAATAGAGGGGTGGACTTCATGGTAGAGGCTGCAGAAGCAGGTGACAGGGGGGCTATGGTGTACATGGCCAGGGCTTTTGAGACGGGGCAGGGACTGGGAACTTGCAGGTAAGGTGTGGGTTTATCAGAAAATGAAGCCTTTCTATTCAAAATTTAAAATATTTAAATTTTAGATTCATTGTCATGCCAGCTGCTATAGAGAGATTTGAGACGAAACAATAGATTTCAGTGTAGCTTTCAAGGTCAAAGGCCATTAGATTTTGAGAATTTGAAGAAATTATATGAAGGGTATAACTGTTCAGTCTGAAGTTAAGGAAAGGCAGGAATACCTTGCATTATGATACTCATACCAGTATTTAGAATTTTTCTTCGTATAAAATGTTTATATTAAAGTAATTTTACTTCATTGATTTTTAGCTCATTTGAAATGTATGAAAATGGTTTGTTATTTGTTGTGAAAATATTGTTTACAGTATCAACCTAAGAGAAATGTATGTGTACTTACCTCTTTGCATGTAACGTGGCCAAAGCTATCTGTTGTCCATAAAGATATATGTAACATCTTTTGGCATTTCATTATCCTGCTATTACAAATACATGTAGTTTTTGACATTATGTTGCTTATTTTTCCTTTAATATGTTATAATAAAATATTTGAAAAACAATTTAAACATCTACATGTATATTTTGCAAATTGACTTCCGTTAAAAATTTGACCAGGTCCTTCTTAATATAAATGTCTCAAAAACTTATGCAGTTCAAAAACTGAATATGATTAATTAATTGGTACACAAATATTGAAATTTTCTTGTAAAGATGTGGCCATGACATAAAGTAATAATTTCCTGCAACAAACTGACCTTGACATTGAAATAAATGACCACAACATTAAGATTAGTGACTACCCTGTAATAATTATGTGTAATGAACTGACCTTTGAATAAGGAAATTGACTAATTACATGTACCTGTAATGACCTGATAGGTCCATTTCCTGGGAGGATGCAGTGTATTGGTATGAGCAGGCAGTGAAGACCCAGGATAATGATGAAGGGGGACAGTACGACTGTACCATCAATGATCCTGCCTACCAACTGATGGCGAAGCAGGCAGAGCTGTATAGACAGGGAGGACATGGGTTACAGAAGGACCCCCAGAGAGCAGGTTAGTGTGCGGAGGGGGCAAGTATAGGCTATAAAGAAGAAAGTAAAAGATATCATAGTAAGTCTTGTGCATGAAATCAAGAACTTGTCAGGATAACTTCCAGTTATATAGTGAAAGGTTATTTGGGTTATAAGGTTTTTAAAAAAAACAAGAGGTCACATCAATAACCTGAGCTCATTCGCTTGGAAATAGCAGAAAATTAGCATGAATATGACCAATCAAAGCTTTGATGTTCACAAGAAAATTTACATAGATTTTTCCAATGTATTCATATATACAGCTTTGATCACCCATTGTGGCCCCACCTTACCCCCAGGAGTCACAATTTGCACAAGCTTGAATCTACACTACCTGAGGATACTTCCATAAAAATATGACCAATTACAGTTCTGGGATGAAGATTTTTAAATGTTTTCCATATGTATTCCTAAATAAAACTTTTTTATGGCCAAGGCAAAAGTTTTTTTAAAGTAGGTCAAATTCTAAGGTCAAGATCAAAAGGTCAAAATTTTTATAGCTTTGAAAGGTCTTGTCACAATGAACTCACATGTGAAGTATGAAAGCCCTAGAACCAGTTGTTTAAAAGTTATGGCATAGGATGAAGTGTAGTAATTATTTGTAAAAGTGGGTCAAACTTCAAGGTCTAACGGTCAAATTTGGTGGTACCCACAAGGAATACACCTGTTAAATATGTAAGTCATAACCTCACCCACACAAAAGTTATGAGCAAGCTAGGTTAAAGTTTTTGTGGACAAACAGAAGATGGACAATACAAAAACTATGCACCCTAAATCTTTGATTATAGTGGCATGAAAATGCCTTATCAACATATCAGTTGTTCAAAAGTTATGGCATAGGAGGAAGTGTAGTAATTATTTGTAAAAGTGGGTCAAACTTCAAGGTCTAGAGGTCTTTGGTGGTACCCACAAGGAATACACCTGTTAAATATGTAAGTCATAACCTCACCCACACAAAAGTTATGAGCAAGCTAGGTTAAAGTTTTTGTGGACAAACAGAAGATGGACAGTACAAAAACTATGCACCCTAAATCTTTGATTATAGTGGCATGAAAATGCCTTATCAACATATCAGAGAATTTGCAAATTTGTATACTTTCCTTCAGTTATTAAACTTTAGAAAAAAATATTATATATATGTATGTACTTTATAGAAAGAGTTTTTAGGTCACCTGAGTAAACTCAGGTGACCTATTGCTATCACTTTTCGTCCGTCGTCGTTCGTCGTGCGTTAACATTTGAACATTTTCAGTTTCTTCTCTGAAACCACTGAACCAATTTCAACCAAATTTGGCATATAACATCTATGGGTAAAGGGGAACAAAAATTGTGAATTTCATGGTCCCTGCCCCCCTGGGGCCTGGGGGGTGGGGCAAAAACCACTAAAATGAGTGCAATCTTTAAAAATCTTCTTCTTTACTCCTGGACATCAAGCAGTCAAACTGTTTGCATGATTGTAATCAGCAATGAGTCCTCTACCAAAATTGTGAAATTCATGGCCCCTGGGTCATGGGTTCTAGTGCTAGGGTGGGGCTAAATAAGTATGTAGTGAAAATGCATTATTTCTTTGAAAATCTTCTTCTCTGCTCCTGGGTATTAAATAAACTAACTAAGTGCATAGTTATGATGAGCAAGAGTGCCTCTACCAAAATTGTGAATTTTATGGCCCCAGGGTCAGGGGTTCTGGTATTAGGATGGGGCTCTATAGATTATAATAGTGAAAATACATGAATTCTTTGAAAATCTTCTTCTCTGCTCCTGGGTATTAAATAAACTAATTAAGTGCATAGTTATGATGAGCAAGAGTGCCTCTACCAAAATTGTGAATTTTATGGCCCCAGGGTCAGGGGTTCTGGTGTAAGGGTGGGGCTCTATAGATTATATAGTGAAAATACATTAATTCTTTGAAAATCTTCTTCTCTGCTTCTGGGTATTGAATAAACTAACTAAGTACATAGTTATGATGAGCAAGAGTGCCTCTACTAAAATTGTGAATTTTATGGCCCCAGGGTCAGGGGTTCTGGTGTAAGGGGGGGGGGGCTCTATAGATTATATTGTGAAAATACATGAATTCTTTGAAAATCTTCTTCTCTGCTCCTGGGTATTAAATAAACTAACCAAGTGCATAGTTATGATGAGCAAGAGTGCCTCCACCAAAATTGTGAATTTTATGGCCCCAGGGTCAGGGGTTCTGGTGTTAGGGCAGGGCTCTATTGATTATATATTGAAAATACATGAATTCTTTGAAAAAAATTCTTTTCTGCTCCTGAGAATGAAACAAACTAATTACATAGTTATGATGAGCAAGAGTGCCTCTACCAAAATTGTGAATTTTATTGCCTTAGGGTCAGGGGTTCTAGTGATAGGGTGGGGCTCTATTGATTATATAGTGAACTTACATTAAATCTCTGAAAGTTTTCTTCTCTGCTCCTTGGTATTAAGCAGATGAACTACCTATATAGTTATGATGAGCAAGGGTCCTAATCTTCCAGAATTGTGAATTTCAAGGCCCCAGGGTCAGGGGTACCATAAAGGAGGGGGGGGGCTGTACTTAATACTGAAACTGGATGAATTGTTTGAAATCTGCTCCTTGGTATTAATCAAATAAAGCAAGTGTGGTTTTTCAAAAATTGTGCAATGTGTGGATCTAGGCCTAAGGGTCAGGGGTTCATGTGTGGTTTGGGCATTACTGACCATGCTGAATATTACTGATTACTTGAAATGCATTTTTTGTTCCCCTACCCTGCCTATGGGTATTAAGTAAACAAACTAAGCAACTGCTAAGTGTATTGTTATGATGATCAGTGGTGCCTCTTTCAAAATTGTGAATGCCATAGCATCTGGATTAAAACATGAATCAAATTCAATCACTGGAAAGTTGTTGCATAATGCTCAGGTGACCTATAAGGCCCATGGGCCTCTTGTTTTTTATCCCTACAGTAAAATTAAGTGCATTTAATTGTGCTTTAACAAATAAATGCATTTTCCTTTTATTTAGGAGAACTGTATAATGAGGCAGCAGAAGTTGCTATGGAAGCCATGAAGGGTCGTCTGGCCACCAAGTATTTCACCCTGGCCGAGGAGGCATACGGTGAAATGGAGGAGGACAAGGAGGAAACCACTGGGTAGGACTGGGAGGAGTGGGAGGAAACACCAGGAGGAAGGGGCCCCAAGTGGGGGATTTATAGTTCTGTAGAAAAGAAACAATGTACAGTGTAAATTAACATTTTATTTTTGAAGGTTGTACACTGTCTTTTGTCAGTGTTCTGTTAACTTGGAACATGACAATAGTGGTCAGTATAGCGTAAAACAGTTTTCACATTTGTAAATCAGAACTTTTTTCAGTTCAGATAATATGTCATATGCAACTCTTTCTTTAAAACCAAGAAACCTCATACTGAACTAATGTTCCAAACATTTTCCAAACATTTTTGTGAAAACATTGAAATCTTGTTTTGTTATGATATTTTTTTTCTTCTTTTTTCTGTTTTTTTGATCTCGAACTTGACATCAAGTTTTTGTCTTTGAGGGATTTTAGTATTAGGAAATATTTTATTTTTTGTGCTCAGTAAGTACTGTGTGTTAAATTTTGTGTATTTTATTAGAAATCAGTGTTTTTGTATGTTGTCATTGGTGTCTTTAATTGTACAGGTACATGAATCTATCTTAATTGTTTCAATATTTTACGTGTTCTGTAAAGTGGGAAATCCAATGTTTTAGCAGTAAATTTTATCATAGTAAGTTCTAGTTAATAGTTTACAAATTAGTCAAGATTTGAAAAAAAAAGTTCGTATTCTTATTTGCTCATACTTTTCCCTCTTACTTAATTTTTTTTAAACATTTTTCAAAAAATGTTTTACAAGAAGGCTCCATTAATTCTCTGTTGTTAGTCAAGTTACGTCATTTATTTTTGTATGTTGTTTATTTTTTAATGATTTTACAGCTGTTTATGCATGTTGCCTCGCTTTTCACCTATTAACTGCATGATATTTTTTTCTTGCCTGATTTAATTGAGTCATAGAAGCAAATTTGGTTGTTATAAGAATACATAGGTTCCTTACTAGTCATTTTAAAATCACTACAATTTAAATGTAGGTTTAATTTTGTGTGTTCAACTAACAGAATCATTGGTAATTATTGTTAAAATAGAAATGTGTTCAATACTATTTAATACTTAAAGAACAATTTCTTATGAGAAATATTTTTTTACATTTTCTACTTTTTTTAATGTGACACAATCAAACAAGAATAAAAAAGGCAAGTATTTGCTTTCATATTGACATTAATTATGCAACACTGAGTCCTGCTTTTCTTATAAATTTTTGTGATAAATTTTCTGTTGTGAATTTGTGTGTTTAACAGTCTTTCATATCCAATACTTTTCCCCTCAAAATTTGCTGTGATTTAATTTTTTTTTTTTCTTGTCACTTTCAACCAATAATAATACTCTCCCTTTATGCAATAAGCATTTTTTTTAATTAATATTTTATTTTTAAAACTGTGGGGTTTTTTGCCACTTGCATGTACATCAATTGGAATTGGGGGGGTTTACTGTAAACCAAGTTTTATTCGCGACAACTTTATTTTGCGATTTACTTGTTGAAAATTAGTTTGCGACATAAATATTGGAGACCAAGCCTTTTTTCGAACCTCGCAAAAATTTCTCGCACACGAATAAAAGTTGGTTTACAGTATATGGTGTCAGGCTTCAGCATTTGTAAAAGCAAGGATAGACAGATTTGTCTTCATCCAGAAAGCAGGATATAAATGTACGTTTATATTTTACTTCAATGTAACAACTTAGTGCAGAAATCTTGGAGGGGTGCATTGTACAGATTTGGAAAATCTTACATAGTCCTGTTTAGAAAATTGATTCGTACATTTCTAACACTCAGAAGTTTTGTGATGTATATATAACGATTAGTTTGTACTAAAACCATTTTTCCTTTTTCAACAAAACCATGTAGCCACTGAATACTAGTATAAAGATCTAGAAACATTGTTGATGCATTTGTGCCATTAGTAAATAGTTTTGTCTTTCCTTAGTATTACAGTATTCCCGAAGTTAATTTAGTATTCCGAGATTCAAGTGAAGTTTTCTATTCACTCTAAATGAAATAGTCGTATACTGTGCTTAGGGCTTAATACATTGTTTTAATGTGGCGTGTCTTCAGGTTTCAGTCGCTTCTAAACAGATTAACTTGTTTATTGATGCTTGTTGGTCTGTTTGTGTGGAATAGGCTGGAAGACATGCCAAACATTCATTGTATCAATTCAATCCATGCATACACATTATTAATACATGAAATTACTGTTAAACATGCATAATGTTTTAAAAACAGCTGTTTACTTGACTTTTATTTCACAATAAATGTTAAACTGTTATTCAAAGACTTCTCTTTTTATTGAAATGGATAAATTTACTTCATTTTAGGAACATCAGTTATGATAACTCAAATAAAAGCAGGTTTGCTGACAGCTTTCCACTTGTCTGTTTAAAGGTTTACTCTGTTGAGATGAGCCAAAAATGCACAAGCCTGAGTAATCTTTAATACTGATTTCTTCAGCAAATACAGTTTATCTTTGAATTAAATGCTTACTGATGTTTTTTCATATTAATTGTTAGTCCATTATTTACACATTGAATTGACGATGAATTTTTCCATTATTTCCCAGTCTTGACAAGGACATAGGGTGGGTGTGACCAGTCGGCAGGGGATGCTCACTCCTCCATGGCACCTGATCCCACCTATGATGTTTATAAGGTTCATGTTTGCTCTGCTCCTATTTTGTATTGTTTTATGGTTTCTTAGCGTAAATACTGTTCATTATCTCCATATATTTCATTCTTCAAAAACAAGAGGCCCATGGGCCTTATAAGTCACCTGAGAATCGTAAGAACTTTCCAACCACTGAATTTACCAGAGGCCATGACATTCACAATTTTGAAAGAGGCGCCATTTCTCATCATAACTATACACTTAGAATACTTAGTTTGGTGTCTTAATACCCATAGGCAGAGTAGGGGTATAGAAAATGCATTTCAACTAATTAGTTACATTCAGCAATAATCAGTAGTACCCCCACCCCACAGGAACCCCTTACCCTGGGGCCACACATTTCACAATTTTGGAAAAGGCACCATTGCTCATCATAAATGTTTGATTAATACCAAGGAGCAGATTCCAAAGCATTAATTCATTTCAGTATATTATATTAGAGCTCCCCATCCTAGAAGTTTTGCTTAATACCCAGAAGTAGAGGAGATTTTAAAAGAATTAATGCATTTTCAATATATGGTATAGCTCTAACACCAGAACCCCTGACCCTGGGGCCATTAAATTCATAATTTTCGAATAGGCACCCTTCTTCGTCCTAACTATGTATGTAGTTGTTTTTTAATACCCAGGAGCATGCAGAGGAAAAGATTTTCAAAGAATTAATGCATTATCACTATATAATTTATATGGTCACACCCTAACACCAGAGCCCCTGACCTTGGGACCATAAAATTCATAGTTTTTGAAGAGACACCCTTCCTCATAATAACTCTACGTTAAGTTTACAAATGTATTTGTATTTGAGCAGAGAAGAACATTTTTAAAGAAATGATGCATTTCCACTATATAATCTTTATAGTCAAGCCCTAGCACCAGAACCCATGACCCTGGGGCCATGGATTTCACAATTTTGGTAGAAGTCTCAAAGCTTATTACAATCTTGTCCACAGTTTGACTGCTTGATGTCCAGGAGTAAAGAAGATTTTTAAAGATTGTATAAATTTTAGATGTTTTGGCCCCACCCTCAGGCCCCAGGGGGGGCAGGGACCATGAAATTCACAATTTTTGTTCCCCTTCACCAATAGAAGCTTTAAGCCAAAATTGGTTGAGTGGTTTCCAAGAGGAAGCTGTTAACACAAGACGAAGGACGGAACAGATAGCAATAGATCACCTGAGTTGACAATTGTGACCTAATAAAAATTATTATACTGTATAAACCAACATATTCTGTTAAAGGAATAAATCTTTTATTAAAAAGGGTGTTAAAAAATGAGTACACAGAACATGATTTAACAAAAATGAACAATAGATAACGTTGCAAACATTGGTCTGGTTTTCTGTTATTGCTTATGTAAATAAAATATCATCAGCAAAGCAAAGTCACAGGTAATTCAGCTTTTAATTAAGGTCCATGTAAGAAGTTAAAAGTTTCTGAAAGACTGTGGTATTTTGCTCTCTCTAGGAAATTTTCAGGCCAGCAATGGAACTTTCCAGAGACTGAAAAAATAAAGAAAAATCATTATACATTTATCAAAGTATCATATTATTAAGCATATTGGAAATGGGATTTATGAAATTTTCAAGACACTGAAAATGGAAAAAATGTTAATTTTGCCCAAAGGATCAAATTCATGTTACATTTGGACAGGTTTAAAATGCAATTTTAGCCCAAAAAGCCAGTATAACCATCGATATTGACAATATTTTCAGTATATGTAATTGATTGTTAATAGACAACCATATAAAATAAAATCAATACTGTAGATCACTTAATTTTCGCTACACCTTATTTTCGCGAGATCATCATTGACTCTTTGTAAGCGAGACATAATTTTCACGAATAGTGGCTATTCCCCTATATAATCGTAAGGAATACTTTTATATGCGAGAATTTAATTTTCGCGAACGCATTCTCTCACGTAATTACGCGAAAATAAAGTTCTCGCAAATAAAAAGTGATTTACAGTAACACTAAATCAAAGATATAAATCTAGATATTTGAATCCATACCTTTACATCCCAGATGATCATCTGACCATCTTTTCCAGTAGTAGAGAACTTGCTGCAGTTTTCTTTAGTTCCTGAGTAGATAGACACTTGCCTGCAAAAATTAAAGAACACAAGTTTGTATATTAATTACAAAGTCACAAGTCATGGTAATCAGTTCCACTAAGTGTTAAGAAAAGTATGTGCTGGTTGGACACCTTGGCTTCAGTATACTGTAAATTCACATGTTTTTGAGGGGTCAAATTTTTGTGGTTTGAAGAAAATATGTTGGTTCAAGGGGATTTGATTTCGTGGTTGAAGAATTTTTCAGTAGCAATATGTGTGAAAAATTGCATTTCATGGTGGATATAAATTCGTGAGTCTCTTCATACCTTGAAAACCACGAAAATTAACCCCTAACAAAAATTAGTGATTTCACAGTATGCATATCAAAAGTGTAAAATTGATATGATTGTATTTCAGTGTCATTGTATTTTGCTGTAAACTTATGGGATTGTACTTTGGTGTAAACTTACACGTATGTGATTTGTTTTTTGGTGTTAACTTATGTGTTTGGGTGTTAATCATGTGATTGTATTTTGGTACTAAGGTATGTGACCATAGTTTAATGTTAAATTTAATAGGTGACTGTATTTAAAAGAGATAACTTACGTGATTGTATTTTGGTGTTAACTTACGTGATTGTATTTTGGTTTTAACGTGTGTAACTGTATTTAGATGATAACTCACGTGATTGTATTTTGGTGTTTCGTCTTCAGGTCAGTTGCAGTCTCAGCTGTTGCCTTCTTATCCAGGTTTCGGAAACGATTCATGGCACTGTTAATAAATATAAAATAAAAATTTATTCGTAGCCTTACGATGTCTAAAGAAAACTTCAAAGGCTGAGTCAATTACCTGTAATCTAAATTCCTTTAAAACCAGAAAATTGTAAAATTGTATTTTTTTTAAGCACCAGCAATACATTAAATTCCTTCAGTTATTTTCTATATCTAAGGAGGAGAGAAATATTTGCTTCTAGAAATCAGTACAGGATGAAAACTGACATCAGGAAGGGATGAAAATTAAATAACGTACCTCATTGTTCCAGCTTCTTTCTCCTTGGGAACATCAAGGTCACTGACAAAGGTCACATTACCATCATCACTGTATCTGAACAGCTTAGGGAGACAGTCATGGCCCTTTGGAAGAAAAAAAAAATCATCAATATAGTAAATTCAAATAAAACCTTACTCATTGTTACATAATATCTATTAATCATTATAAAAGATATATTTCTAATAGCTGCTACATGGGAAAAAATCTCAAACACAAAAATTATCTGTTACTTGATCACATCATAAATGTGCAAATGACCAACATACAAATAAATCTATGTACAGATAAATCAGAATGAGAGAGCACTCATGAAACAAAGTATTTCCTTGTTCACAACATGCAAAGCACAAGGACGATGATATATCCACTGCTTATTATATACTTACTGCAGCCACAATGCTGTGGGGCCCCACCCACGTCAAGCTGACCAGAGGCAGAAAAGATCCCTTCACAACAGCTAACCTGAAAAAAATATTCAAATGAATAAAATCTCAGACTTATAATGGCTTCATTTTTTTCCTGCAGACTTCTTCTCATGGCTATATTGACGTGTAACGGAAAACTTGAAATTGAAGCTTTTTAAAGTAAAATGAATCTTGAACACAAAAAAAATTGAATCTATTAAATTGTACCACAGATTTTGAATTGATTCAGTGAAAATTAATTGATATTGTGCCCTTACTAATGCATGTAATAAGTGTCATTGAGATTAAAGTGCAATGTAATGGTTTTAAATGAGATTAATGGGTATAGTGTGTACAATGATTGTAAATGAGATTATAGTATATACAATACTGTATACAGGGTTATTTTTGCCCTGCAGTGTTATTTCCGCATTTTTACACTTGCAAACAATTTTGCCCGGTTGAATTCGCGCTGTCACAGTTATGTTAAAGAAATTATACTGTGTTCTTCGCATTTGTCCCATTTTAGATTCGCCCACTTGTGACAAGGGCGAAAGGGGCAAGCAAGAAAAAAATGGGATCAACAATTTCCATTTATATATGAAAATGAGATAACAGGTCTGTTTCTTACTGTTGTTGATTAGCTCCATTAACCACACTGATACTGGAATCGTGGCCCACAAAAGCCAATAGGTCTCCACTGGCCGAGAAAGATACGTCATGGATCCACCCACCTGTTAATTTTTAAAAAGTTGTCAGTTGAGGTTCTGATGAGCTAACAAGTTTTTGACACAGCCACAGAACTTTAAATATTTCAAAGTATCTTCAAAATTACAATCCCTGAACATACTGTGCTTAATCAATTTCAAATTGTTTCCAAAAACAGTTTGCAGCACATTACATTTTGGTGATCCATGGTCCATTTTAAAGAGGACTATGTGTCAGCGCTATTAAGCAAATTTAGTGCCTTTTATGAATGTTTGATGAGTATTTTAAACACACAAAAAAATTCTTCCATGTGGATGATGGAGAGATCAGATTCTGACTTCAAACAATTTACACTTGAGAAAGATATGTTTAACATATCTTCAGTTTATCAATTTTGTACATACCCCCACCATTGGAGACTTCAAACATGCAGTTGGCAAAAGGCATTTTGGCTCCCCAGCAGGTAGCAGAGGGTTTGCTTTCAATTTCTTTGATGTAAGCAGAGAAAATCCTATGAATATAGCCCATCAATAACATTAAAATTAAAATCTAGCATTTTTAAATCTCTCTTATTAATGACACTACTTCTCTCTCCTTTGAAATTTCTTAAATATTGGATACACAAAATATTCAAAAAGAGCTAAAATCAAAATGCCTTGAATAGGGATGCCATTTTTGTGTTCCAAATTAATTTGTCTTACCTTGCTTTAAAATCACAAGATCCAGCAGAAATCAAAACATTGTTAGGGTGCCAATCCAAACTGCAATAAAAATAAAATACCAGTAGTACATTGATAGTTAAGTATATTACAGCTACTCTCTTTTTCCTGTTACGTTTTAGGTGTTTTTTGGACAAAATATATTTGTATTGCCTAAAAAACAAGATATGAAATTCCATTGTCAAAATATTCATAATATACATTTAGTAGACATATACAGCAGTCCGTACCAGGTGACAGTGGATCGGATTGGCTTCTTGATGTGCTTGCTGACCCACCAGTGATTTTCTTCCTCAAAATAGCAGATAGAAATCAGCCTAGAACCACTGCCCACTGCAAACTTATCACCTGTGAACACAAAAAGAAAATGTACGAGGAGGTTTACCTTTATAATAGCTTTTCATTTGAGATTCAATTACTTTTACCATCATCGGAAATCCTCGGATGCTCTCGCTTCTCCTATCTGCCCAAATTGCCAACAAATTACAATTTGCAATATACATGTAAGAAAAAGGATACCCCAGTTTTTAATAAATGATAATGACTAAGATGTGGATTAGACTGTAGTCTCTAACGTACCATTTGGAGACCACTTGACACAGGTGGCTGCACGGTTGATTCTCAAGATGACCAAGCAAGGCTTCCATTTACCATCTTTGAATTCCCATACATAAGCGTTTCTATCCTGCAGTATGCAAAAAGTATTTAATGTAAACATTTTTGAATTATGTAGCTTCCGTGACAAATGATGGAACATTATGTCATTGGTTTGCATGTTTAAAAATAAAACATACTTTTTTCTTTTTTGTTTGCCTTTGAAAAAAAAGAGTATCATTAACTAATATTCAGCCAAATAAAAAGCTTACTAAAAAGATTTTAATAAACTAATATAGTAGTAAAGAACCCATTTCAAAGCACATCAATTTTAATTTAAATTAATTTCTACAGGTTTGAAGTGATGTGAATTTATATATACAGGTTTAAAGCAATGTAAATGATATACATACGGCCCCACTGGTCACTATCCTGTTGTGCTGGGGCTCCCAGTCGATCCCTGTAACCCTCTGACCATGCTCAGAGAGAGTAGCGGTCAGATCATAGCCAGTCGGAGCCTTCTTGTATATCTCAATGTTGTGGTCATTGTTAGATATTGCTATCTCTGAAATTGTAGGACAATTGTTAGATATACTAAAATAAAAAAATCAAAGGCCTGAAGGGCCACAATGGCGCCGTGCTTTAGATATGGCAGCGATACCTTGAAATTATTGGATTTACAAGCATGTTTAAAAGTAATATGCATATGTTTAGTAATTATAGTTGTATATATAGTTGTAAATGTATATCTAGATAAAATACCCCGATTTAAGCATTATGAAATAAAAGCATTCAACTCATATGGTCCAACTGAACGGCTTGAGAACAGGTTTTTATGTGTAGTCACTAGTCAGTACCCTGGTAAAAGAGTACATGTATTAGGACCATATTTGCCAACACCCGAGATGTAAAAATCTGGTCATTTGTGTATTGATAATTCTTCTATTAAAAAGGCTTTACTGAATTATTTACTTACAATGATGAAAAATTATTGATAAATTGACATGTTAAACAAGAGGTCCAGGGGCCACATCGTTCACCTGAGCAATTGGCTAGAATAAAGCACATATCAGATCAGAGCTAAAAGTTTACTGAAGGGGGGGGGGGTTGAATTTTAACCCTAGGGGTCATGATTTGAACAAACTAGAATCTACACTACCTGAGGATGATTCCACACAAGTTTCATCTTTCCTGGCCCAGTGGTTCTTGAGAAGAAGATTTTTTAAAAATGCCATTAATTTTTCTCTAATTCATAATTATATCCCCTTGGAAAAGGGTGTGGCCCTTCATTTGAACAAACTTGAATCCCCTTTACCTAAGGATACTTTGTAGCAGGTTTGGTTGAAATTGGCATAGTGGTTCTTGAGAAGAAGATGAAAATGTGAAAAGTTTACGACAACAACGACGACTACAACAACTACGATGACGACGACAGACAACAGACAAATTTCAATCAGAAAAGCTCACTTGAGCCTTCGGCTCAGGTGAGCTTAAAAAGAACATTGAAGGTTTAATTGTTCAGCACTGACCTGAATTACGTTAAGTGTGTATTTAAAAAAAGCCTTTTCAGTTTATGCTAACATGGACCTATATCATGTATATACTAATATATTGTTAGTATATAGGTCCCTGGTGCTAAATTTGAAAGTAATTCCAATTTTAGGGGATTACTTTTCCTCTCTCTTAGGCCTAATTAATTTAATTAACCATACACTGACTTCGATCATTTTATTTTATGTAATGAATGTTGTTTTCCAAGACTCCTTGACATGTACATAAATATTGTTTCTCTTTGTTAAATTTGTTCCTGCTGGTCCTGATAACAATCTTGTTCTATCGGAAGCCATTTTAAATTTTGATTTGTCAAAACCACCCCAGTTAATTGTTTAAACCTGCACTGATAATTTACTGGCCTACTGAACCACATAGCCATCCGCTTTGTTTACGTAGATCAAGCTTAGGTTGTAACTGGAAGTTAAAAATACAGCTTAATTTACGAACACAATCCGGAAATCGGGGATTCAGGCGATAAGCATAACTCACCATGTCATAAAAAATAATCAGGTTAAGGGTCGAAAAGTAACCCGACAAAAGTGGGTGAGTCGTCAGCTATGTATAGGACTGTTGAAATTGTATGATTTTCAGTCAATTTATGTAATAAACACAAAATTTAGCATCTATATTCCTACGCCGTATAATTGAAAGTCTTGGTTTGAGTACTATATTATTTGGCGCATGAAGAAAGCGGTGAGCAGTCAGAGATTTCATCATAGCTAGATGTGCGCCGAGCTAAAGCCCGACGCCTTAAAAATGAATAATGTTCATGTGAGCCATAGTATGAAAAAAATATTGTGAATTCTGTTCCCAAACACAGAAAATTACACAGACTGCAGTCTGTTTGAGCAAGCATTATGTATGTTGTTACATGTACCACATGTGTAATCAACTTGAAAAATAAGGAAGTTGAAACCTTACTTTATGACATACTTTCTGCAAAAAATCAGGCAGCATGCAAAATGAAAAAAATCCTTTTAAATAGGAATGCAATTTCTCATTAACCCCTCTTGTTTGTTGTTTTCTTATTATTAATATACAGATGTTTTAAATGACTTGCCACTACTGTTTTTTTTTTCTTTTGTATCCAATATTTCTTGATTGCCTGTGTAAGTATTCTGTTTAAAACAATATGTTTTTCTTCTTCAATTTACCTGAACCTTTGCCATTCCATGCATGACAAGTTATGGGAGCCACTCCAAAGCTGTGAGCAGACATTGTTTCCACCTACAAAAATCATTGTAAAATGTAGCTGATAAATTTAATCAAAACAAATTTTGTTACAAAAACCTACACATTAACTATAAAAGTATACGGGTTTCTGATCTATTGTCTTATGGTAAAGAAATCAGAGAAAACATATTAAAACAACGCTGTTTGATATCAAATTCAACTACAAGGAAATAAATCAGTGGTCTAAAGTAGGAAGTTATGCACTTTGAGAAAATTCGAACTATCCGTATTTATGGAATTTTGTGATTATATGTGAATAGTTCAAGTGCATTAAGGCAAAATACCTATAACGTACCTCTTATTCAATAAATCTTTTCAAAAAATTCGTGGACTCTGGTCAGTCGACACGAATTTTCCTCAGCTCTCTTCTTCACAACTTCACGTTTCCGTATTGTAACAGGAAGTAAAGTTCACGCCCTCCTGACTCATATGAAATGTAAGAAAAAGAAAATTAGCTGTTTAAAAATTTGTGCAAAAAATATTAAATATTAAAAAACGCTAAAATTTTAGGTTCAGTCAATATTACCGTGGGTATATTGAAAATATTTATATGCGAAACTAAAACTACCCAAAGTGAAAGTTGAAAGGTCAATGCTCAACTTCCGTCTTCCTTGTTGGTATGTACACAAACTGACAAACGTGTTCGATAAAGACTTAATTGGATATTTTTACCGTGAAGAATCATAGTATGCGTAACATTTATATTTGTCTGATTTTATTATTTCATTTGGTGATCATTAACAAGGCGGACAATGACGATTCAGGCGTTATTTTACCAAGCATGTGTGAGGGTAGGTCATTTGTTGTCTACTTTCTATTTGTCTTGCATGGTCACAGAAAAATCTATTACATGTGGCATTAAGTGTTATCCAGATGAAAAGAGCTGATGTACTTATTTGTTATTATTCGATAGTTCATTTTTGTACAAATAGTTGTAATTTTTTTTTCATTGTTGTTTGAGGAATTCTTGGGTATCAGCATTTTTGCCATATTTCATTTTTTTTTAATTCTTTTGTAAATATACAGTCATATAAGTTAACATTTAAAAAAAAGTAGATTTTACAATTTTAGTGTGTGTGTTAAATGGGAACTTAAGGAACTTAAGGAATAATTTATGTAAAATTATGGGAAGTACACATGGCTCATATTGATTGGTTGTTTCCAGCAAACACTTCCTTTTATCAATAGGATGTGGGGATTGAGTTCCTAATTATCTTTATAAGTGAATTGTTGTGAGCCTATTATATTAGACTAACAACCATGTTGCGTTATCGCAATCTTTCCACCTGTGCATTTACTGCATGTTGGGTGCCACTGCAATTATATTGAAAGCTTATCTAAAAAAGACTTTAAATCCTTGAGCTTATTAACAGGTAGTACACTGAAATGCTGTTAATCAAGATAAGCATGACTTTCTATATCCTCCCATTTGTACAAAGTAAGAGTTTGGTTACTCTTGAGAATAGATGATAAAAAAGATATAGGGACAAATGAAGTTCTAGTTAAGTGTAAGACATTAACTTTTACTAACTATAATGATGAATTACAGGCATGCAGCATCGGGAATGGGGGAGGGGTTTTGGGCAGGGGAGGCCAGGCCCACATTTTACCAAACATAACTCTTTACTATTGAAAATGTTCATTGAAAGACCAGTTCCCCCCCCCCCCCCACACACACACACTTTTTGTAAGAGTAAGGGACAAAAATGGTTTTGTAGTGTATTAGGAACAAAATTTGGTACTGAAAAAAATTGACCCCCCACCTCCACTCCCCACCCCACCTCCCAAGGAATAGGACTTTTCTTCGAATTTTGGCAATTTTCTTTTCTTTTTTTATTTTCTTTTTGCCTGTCAAGTTTTTTTCAGGTAGGTTTCTCTGGTTGCCCCCTTTCAAAAACAATGCTACGTCACTAAATAAGTCATTTATTTTCAGTGTGTAAGTTTTTTGTTACTGAGCTTCAAAGTAGACTAGACGAAACAGGAAAATCCAAAGAGACATTACATGTGGGCCATGGTTTAGACAAGAAAAAGAAGATTGTATACAACAAATCGTGAGTAGCACTAATAATGTAGAAAAAAAAAGAAATGAAAATGCATTACACTCAATTGTTGGGCATATTTGAAACTTCACTTTATTTCATCATTTCATGCCTTTTTGTTCTTCTCGATGATTCCTCCCCCCCCCCCCCCCAAAAAAAAAAAATTAGAACCATGGTTTTAATTACAAGGCCCTTGTATAAATTCAATATTTTCCAGGGAGTTGAGGCTAACAGAAGCTCTGACCGACCCACATATATGTGACAAAATCCTGGAATACAATGTCCACAAGGAAAGGTCTGGAAGCAATAGGTTCGCCAAAGGTCGCAGTGAAACCATGGACACATTACACGGATTGGTGTAAGTCAATGATGTTTCACATGTTTTAGAATAAATACCAAAAATTAAAATTTTGAATTTGTAATAAGTGCAGTTCTTGAGTAAATGTTAAGAAGTTCATTGTAAGGGCTTTAGAATTAATGGGGTAAATGAGCATCTTCAGAATCGGTAAGGGTGTGTGTGAAAAAAAATCCCTATTAAAGGGAGGTAATTTCTACAAATACATGTAGTTACATATTTTGTGTGTATTGGAGAGAGAATTATATGAAATCTTGCAAACTGAATAGAATAATCTAAAAAATACACATGTAATGCACAGAAAGTGAACACCTTTTATTTATATTTATAGAAATAAGGGAGTGAAGGTAGAGTTGGGAATTCCCTATGAATTGTGGGATTCTCCATCTGCTGAGGTCACAGACATGCAGCGCAAGGTAAAAATTATCAAAAATCTATTATAATGGAAATTTATTTGTTTTGTGATATCATATTAATACAATGTATAATGTTTATCTGATAGTTTTCCACTGAAATTGTTTGTGTGAATTTTAATTCTGTTAAAAGTTCATCATCTCTATCCTCGTGCATCTTTGTTACCCAATTAGTGACCAATTTGTTTACCTTCATCTAATTGGGAGATGAAGGTAAAGGAATCGGACACTTGGATAGCAAAGATGGCCCAGTGCTTCTAATTTGCTATTCTCATCACATATGGGAAAAAAGAGAATTAGAGACCATTTGCTTGTGAAGATGTTAAAAAAGTTTTGTTTTTATTATGTCTTCTGTTTTATGCAGTGTTTTAAGATGGCGGAGGACTATGAAGATGAGATAGAAGACTGGTATTATAAACACCAAGACAAAGAGTTAATGAATTATTTGTGTGCCAACATTATCCTTAGGAAAGATGACACCAGTAAGATCTTCAGTTATTAAATTTTGTAATGTGCCAACATTATTCATAGGAAAGATGATAACAGTTTTCTGAATAAAAATTGTACATTTAGTTAATTTACTCTAAAGCAGTAAAACTAACATCTGTAATTAAGAGAAACATTATGTATACAAGAAGTAAATCTAGTTACCCGTATATAAGTCCTTTTCTCATGTTTGGCTTTATAGCCTAGCAAAATGTGAGGGTTTAGTATTTCTTACAAACATTTGTAGAGTGCTTAACGGAGAAGTATGTACCTAAAGGCGAAACAGAGGAGGGAGACAAGAAAGAAAAAAAATCATCAAAAAAGGAAAAAAGTAAGCCCCTCCCCTCCACTGTTTTACAAACTTGTCATCTTTCAAGGTAGCCATAACGATAATTGATACTGGATTTATGAATTTGAGTATGATGTTAATAACACAGAATGATCAATACAGTAAACCAACTTTTATTTACGTGCAAAAAATTTTCGTGAGTTTCACAAGAGTCTCATTATTGCAAATATTTCTCGCTGCGAACCGAGCGTTAAAGTCTGTTTCTATTAACAACAGATCCAAATAAGGCTTGATCATGAAAATTAATTGCGTGAACTAGTTTACCCCTGCTACATCATGAAATAAAGTTGTCGTGAATAAAAGTTGGCTTACAGTATTTGTTAACTGATGCACAATTTATAGTTTTGATAAGTTTTGCTTTTGTTTTAATTAGAAAAAACAAAGCCAAAGGGAGATGAAGGAGAAAGGATGACTAAAGAGGAATTATGATGCAACCATGGAGTAGAAAAATGGCATCTCCTGTCACCAATGTGTTCCCTAACGATTCCTTCCTGTTTTTATTTGTCTTTATTCCTTCTTTGTTGTAACAATTCTCTGCAAGCAATAAACTGTTTTACAATGAATTTTAATTCAGATGAGCTAATAAGGATAGTAGACTCTGTAATATTGTTTCAGTTGTCTTGCTTTAATTGTATGTGAGTAAATTATTTTGTAATTGTGAGGTCATTTTGAGTACTGTTGTATTCATATTATTGTTATATTCATATAGATGCATTCTGTTCATTTTGTTTTTCCTCTCATGTAGAAAAGTATTAATTGTTGAAGGAAAATTATTTTTGATTCAGGTTATTTACACTTAAATAGTCAAATCTAGTACATGTAAAGTGCCAGGGTCAAACAATTTGCCAATTGTAAATGTAATTTATTATATCTTCTACATTTACAGTATGTTTAAAAACTATATGAATTCATAATAAACATGTTCACTTTGAGTATGTTTTAGTGTAACTAAATGTCCAGACAGTATGATGCTTATAGTGCATGTTCATGTATACAGAACACAAAAGAGACCCTTGACCGAAATTATGATGTTGAGATCATGCAGATTTCTTAAGTAAGAATATTATTTGAACCTGAACTAAATACATGTCTCAGGTAATTATGATCTGTTCAAGATGCAGTACTGCTCATTTTTGATCATCTGAAATGCATTTCTGTCACAATATACTCTATGATAATTGTGATGTTTTAATTTTTAAAAAAAAGTTTATGTGTGGACATGAAAAGCATTATGAGTCATCAGTGACAAAATTTTAGTGTAGATTGCACAAAGTTCTTCATGCATATGTTTTTTCAACATAGAAAAATTGCCAAAAGACACAAATCATTATATATAACTTGTATTTTGTAATGGTATGAACAGATGCTCATGATGGGTTTTATTGATTAACCTATTTTAATATTTTTGGTAAATTTCTTCATTAATCAAAATAAACATGCTACCCATTGTTAATTTTTGTGTTACATTTACAAAGAAAGGTCAGGCTGCAACTCTGCCATAGATTTTAATGAAACTGTGATGTGATGCTTCAAATTCACCCACAGTGACTGTAATTGCGTGGTACCCTGTGATTCTATTAAATGGCAGCAATTCAAAGAACATGGCCCTCCTTATTTAGGGGTCTGATTTGTTGAGGTGCAATGAACTTTATGACATATTATTACTGTCCTGTCTGACCATCATACTAAACAAAGGTTTTAAACTCTTGAAGTAATATGTTTTTTTTATCTAAATGGATTAACCAAGGTCAAAGTTTTAGAAAGTCAAACTTCAAGGTCATGAGATAACAAATATCAATTAATGTAATTTCTTGTCACAAGTATAATGCACATGTGAAAATAAAAATATCAAGAAAGGTCTTGTCATAGTTTTTTGCACAGGTAATAGAGCATGGGCGTCGGAAGCAAATTGAAAGTAGGGGTTTGGTGTAATTGAAAGTGGGGGGGGGGGGTAAACCAACAAAAAAGGTAATATATTACGTATATATTTTTTAACGCCTATATAGAGCCTATATAGAGGGATTGCGGATAAGAGATGGGTACCCAAAGTGTAATACTAGTAGTATACGGTTAAAGTAAATAATTGAGGGGGTTAACAAGATTCCAGTTCCCCATAACCAGGACCATTTCCCGAGGCGCAGCCCGTCGGGAGCCGGGAAGAATGATTTACTGCTTGTACGTTTGATAAGTTGTTTTCGTTTGTCATGTTTTTATGTATACGTTTGTTCTGCAAAGATGATCGTTGGTTTTGCATTCATAAATGTTTGTTACGTACGTGGTCGTTGGTTTTGCTTTGATATATATTTCTTCTGCGAAGAGGTCTGTTGATTATGCATTGTATATCATTTTGTTAAATTTTTATGGTCATTGAAATTAAAATAATTGTTTGTTTTCTCATTATGGTAATTTTTGCCCTTTCCGCTGCCCATACCGGGGAATTAGCTTCCGAAGCAGGGATTAGCTCATTTAACTAGCGCACGGGGAATTAGTCCATTCACTGAACTTTCTAAGGAATTATTCACATTTTACTGTCTTACTCGTATGTAGGAAAAAATCAGTAGAGGTATAATAAACGGACTTACGGCTAAATGAAACTGAACGAATGTTGTTAAAAACGCACTCGCACGCGGGTACAAATAAAATTTACATAAAATATTTGCATCTGCATCTGAGCATCGCAAACATGGAATGCAAGACAGGTAAATCAATAATGATCGGGTTCTTGGGCAGAATGGTGTTTGGTCAAATCAGCTAGGGCCAACAATATGAAAGACGCCTTAGCTCAAACACACTCGGAAAAATTATCATCCAAGAATAACGACAATTTGTCTTTCAGAGATAAATTTATCAGTATATTCTAGAGTATATAATTTACATATTCATATGCAGTGTCAAAAACTCCCAACCATGCATTTGACGCACTTGAACAGGAATTATATATTATGCATCTCATCATGCTCATCACGATGAATATTCGGCTTTCATTAGGATTGTTTTAAGATCAGACGTAACTTCCTCAATAAACAGCGTGATAAAATACAACATTAATGCAAAGCATCAAATTAGCTACAAACAAAATTTAGCGTTTTAAAAAGAGAAATTTCATCAAGACTTGTGCGTAAGCATTCAGGAAAAACGCAACGTACAGTTTTCAAAATTAAAAGAGTGGATACATCTATTCCAGACTGTATTCTAACTTTACACCCCTACCCCCCATTATTAACATCAAAATTAAATTTAGATCACCAGATGAACCATTTGGGGTCTTTGTCACTCGACGATGCCGATGATTTTTGCAGACTATAGCTATCCTTCATGGTGCGATGATGAACAACTCGGCAACGTGGGGAATGATGAAAGCAAACTATGATTTTATACCGATGATAATGACAGTGCAATCATGCTGAATAAAATATTGAAAAATTTGGTAAAGCTTAAGATAAAATTGTTTCCAGCATGGTATATAGCTGTAATTGACACAGTGATTTTTTTGTCACTTTTAAATGATATATAAAACCATCAATTCTGAATTTAAAGCAATTTTCTTCACTTTACTCGTTATTTATCAATTTTATGATTTAGAAATTATTTATCAGACTAATTAATGAATAATATCTCAACCCAACCCCAACCCCAACCCCCCTTTTCACGCAACCAGAAAAGATCGACCGCTCCTGCAGCCAATAATAATTTTATTCAAGAACTTGTGTTTGTTGTTTTGCTTCAATAAGGTACAATACTACGCATTCATTTGTGCAAAATACCTCATGCTGTGTGGTTTTTTACTCAGGCCAGTAACAAGGATTTAAAAAGAAGGATGTATAGGTGGCTAACCCACACTATCTGGGTTATTGGAATTTGCTTGTTTTTGACAGCAACGAAAAGTGGAGAGGAGCAGAGTATACAGCATTGAAATGCAAATTTCAGTATAAAAACTACAGCAAAAGACTCAAGACTCTTTAATTAGAACCCCTCCTCTCACCCTACCCCACCTCGCATTTTAGGAGCCTGCTATATCACTGGAATAGCAGTTATCACAAAATATGGTAATTTTATCTTTTTGAGATATTTTAAAAACAATTGTAAAATCAGATCGAGACAATTAAAACATCGTTTTTCAAGGTAGGGTGCAATAAAACAAGGTATAACATTTTTGTTTAAAGGTGTTTTAAAATAAACATAGGCGTCGGAAGCAAATTGAAAATGGGAGGGGGGCTAAACCATATTAAAAAAAAAAGGTGCACCCCAATTTTTAATGCCTCTATTATGTTTTTACTGCCACATAAATATTGGCTGTATATATATCCCCCCAGCCCCCCGGTTCCGACGCCTATGATAAATTTCATCAATTGATAAATTATAATAATTTTTTTCTGTTAGAATATAGAATATCTTAATGAAATATCAAAGATTGGAGCAAATTACAAATACCTGTAATTTTTTGCATGCCACCCGAAACGCGTTTTTTATTTGGCTCTATCAAAAAAAAAAAAATTAAACAAAAATGAATTTTAATAACATTCAATTCATTTTAATCAGATTTGATTTGATATTTATCCAGACCAGAAATTATGTATTATTTTATTTTATTCATAAAGTCATTTGAACACACTTCCGGTCTTCCGAGCTCGTGCAAGTCGTGAGCTGTGTTCAGGTAAAGCGGACAGTCCAATTTCAGGTAGGGACTATGCAGATGAAAATATACATATTAATCATAAAACGTAGGCTTTTTATGTGAGCACTTTTGTTATGAATCGTTGATTTGCATGAAATGTATAATTAGAGGCAACTGTAATGGGGTTTAACAGTCAAGATAAACGAACAATCATTCATGACCAAATAGTCCATGGCCATTTTTAAAAGAACGCGGGCCCATTCCTATAAATAGATTTTCTCTCGGACACTTTTAGTTCAAAATACTGTTGGATCTTTACCTGCTGTATCAAACACGTTCGACTTCTATCTTTGTCTTTAAAAAAATTAATTTCAATATCTGTCGTGTTAACTTGAAGGACAATTAACAGATTAAGACAAGAGATCAAGATTTTTTTTTTCTTAGACGGGCGAGGAGGTATTTGAGTAATAATTAGATATGTTGATGAGTTTTTAAAAGAAAGCCCCCCCCCCCCAAAAGATAGATCTGCCTTACTTGTTTGTTTCTTTCCATAAATGACAGCAACAGGGGTTGGGGGAAGGGAGGGGCATTGGGGTGTCATTTATTAGTTAACTTTTTGCTTAAATGTATTTAATAACTGAATGTTTTGGGACTTTGGTGTTTAGTTTCTGACCATATACATCCTTACTAGTATATATACATCTACACTCAGATAAAATACCATAAGTAACTGCACAATGGTGTGTTACGTAAAGGTGCTTTTGCACTTTATATTGGTTAAGAAACTATTTACAAGATTTTAACCAAAATTCATATTATTGATTTAAATTAATGTAGGTATTTAATCTGACATCTTGAGTTTTCATGTGACATTGACCTTGCTCTTTATTTTGTGTGGAGCCCAGTTTTGAATATAACTATTCAAGGTTTTTGTTATCAGAATCCACGGATACATATTGCTGTGAACTTTCCAACCAATTGTCCTTATTTTCTGAGCTGAGACCTTTCCCTTTCTCCTGGTCTTACTATGCCCCATTTTATTAAACTGTGTCAGACTCTGACATTCACCATAAAGTTGTTCCAACCATTCACCATTTTGAATTTAACTTGTTTACAAAGAAACTGTTTCACTAAAATAAAAAAAGTATCTAAAAACTTGACCTTGACCTCACTATTTTTAGCTCCACTGGTCAGAGACCAGAAGAGCTTATGCAATAGTAATGTTTCACTCGTCCATCCGTCTGTCAGTCTGCAAACAATTTTTCAAAATGCTACTCCTCCTACAAATTTGGTCTGATTTCAATATAACTTGGCACA